CTCTACGTTCAAGTCGTTAATTTACGTATTGTCCGCTAACGAATTTCTGTCACATCCTCAAGACTTGAACTTATGACATTTCCCCTAAGAGAGACTTGAATTGAATTTTGATACTAAGGCCCTATTTGAGTTGTATTATTTGGAAAAAAATACATTCGTAAACAGTGATTTGATATTATTTCAACCACACATTATTCAATAAAATAATACTACACGTCAAAAAAAACTTTTCTTATTTTTAACCACACATTCTTCATCAATCTATTATTTTGAAATACATTCTTAAAAAATAATATAGCTCAAACACACTCTGATTATAAGATGGGTTTAGGCTTTCCCGAAGTGGATCTTACAAAAATGCACATTTTTAATGATCCGGCCTCTATGCTCAAGTCATTAACTTACGTATCGTGCGCTATGAAAGAGCCTAGCCTATCTTAACTCTCACAATTTTCTATTACGTTCCTCATGATTTGAACTTTAGACCTATGTCTTATGAAAGATATAAGTTGAATTTTGGTAACAATTGGAGCTTCGTGCATGGCCGTTATATTTGTCCAATTAATACCAAAATTCAACTTAAGTATATATTCAACTCATTTAACTTTCTTACTAGAAAGAAAAGAAATAGGGGAAATTTTCTCTCATAAGTAGAGGTCTCGGGTTTGAATCATGGGGATGTAGAAAGCTGTAAGGGGTAAGAGAAAAGATTCTCTCCTAAAACGGACAATATGTATTGTATATCGGTTGAGCATGAGGTCGAGTTGTTACGAAATGTGAAGTAGAGGTTCCATAACAACTCGGGCCTCGTGCCTTGTTACAAAAAATGCGCATTTTTTGTGCCCAGCCATTTTCTTATGTAGTAGTCTACTCTTGGAAAGCTTGAGCCGATCTTCTCCTTCATGGATTTTGATAGGAACTTGGTATGCTGGTGAAGTTCTAATCGACTTGGACGTTGCTGCTAATCTAATGCTGATCTATATAGCTATTGGAAAGGATTATTCTCTATTGTAATAGTGGATCTAATGGTTGCAGCTGGTTAATCTGCTCTGGATATGTATAGCTATTGATGAACCTGTTTTACAGATGTTCACGGGATCTAGTTAGATAGTAGAAATTGTAATTGGTATATGAAGGAATGAAGAGGAATTGTATGATTTGTGAATTGTATAATATTGAATATCGTAGAACAATGTATTTGAACTTGAATGTATTAAAGCAGAGAATGAATAACAGAACAATTCCAAGCATTCGAGTGGCTTAGATCTCTCCTCCTAAATCAACCACTAATCCCTGAATGAATTCCTCGGCTCCCCCCTTATTACATGTATAGATGTTCTACTATATTTATATTTCTCATTTTACCCATTTGCTAACCAACTAGTGGAATATTCTAGAATCTTGAATGAACATATTGTATGAGTGAATCTTATTGGAGGTGGAAGACTATCATTACTTGCCTTCTCGAAATCCACCTTGTACCTTGTCCTTGAGGTGGAAGTCGTTGCAGTTTGCTCACTTCATCATACACCCACACCATTTCTCGTGCAATGCCTGTCACGATTTGAGCAGAAAAGGGATAATTCAACAAAAAAACTTGGTAGACCCATAACTGTAAGTAATAAATTGTCCATTAAAATCCCATAGCTGGTTGTACCACATCCCGAGTTTTCCAAAAAATGGAACATAGACAATTGAAACACAATGGTGGGTAATACCATAATTGATCATCTCCGCTACCTCCATTACTTGTGCAGTCTGCCTTTTTGTGGTATTTAGCGCTATAAATCCAACTACCAAATTCATTAAAACTTCGAATTTATTATCAATAGAATTTAGGGATATATTTGTGTAATTCGGGCCGCTCATAATTAGGCTGGACGAGGGAAGGTAATAGTTGTTAGTTTTAGATCTATATGGGCCAAAATTAGGTTGGGCCCTTTTCCATGCCTCATTTTGATTTTCCACTTTTAGGGCTGGCTCTATAATTTGGTCCATCCTTTGAGCCTTGAGTATGACTTCCGCCTGTCTTGCCGGTTTCATGCCACTGGTGAATTTCCTTTCATCACCGCTTCCAGGCTCGTCGACGATGGAGCTTCTAGATTTTCCATCATTCTTTAATCCTCCTTGACCGTACTCTCCTCTTAAAAAAACCAGCCAGCTGAATTATCACCATGGAACACTGCATCTGGAATTGTCAGCATCTTCATCTTCTCCTACGTGTTTTGTAGCAACCATCCTAGTTCAGAACTCTTCGATAGAGGAGACTCTACAACTCCCAATGGCTTCCCCTTCTCTTTTATTGTGTCTTCTTATTGAGGTGGATTCTAGTTTGTGCCCTCTTGAGACAAACCAAATCTGTCAATCATCAACCCTTTCAATTCTCTCCAAGTTAGCACGGTCCGTTGTCGATCGACATCCTAAAACCAATTCCATATTTGCCGGTCAAAATAGGTTGTTGTAGCCTCTATTTTCTCTGCCTCCAATAATTGATTTCTGGAGAAGATCCCTTCCGCCAAGTACAGCCACCATTTTGTGTTTTCTCCATGGAATATTGATATATTTAGCTGGTTGTATGAATCCAGCCCCGAGTCATCGTCTCGATCTCCTTCCCATCACATTACCATCTTCTCAAGCCGATTCAATAGCGAGATCCAACTCTCTTCTAATTCTCTGTTGAAATTAGTTCTTCTGTCTGAGAAAGAATGCTCTGATACCAACTTGATAGGAAATGGTTTGCTGGTGAAGTTCTAATCAATTTAGACGTTGCTGCTGATCTATATAGCTACTGGAAAATTTCTTCTCTGTTGCAACAGTAGATCTAATGGCCGCAGCAGCTGGTGAATCTGCTCTGGACATGTATATCTGTTGATGAACCTATCTACAGGATCTAATTAGATAGTAGAAATTGTAACCGGTATATGAAGGAATGAAGAGAAATTGTATGATTTGTGAATTGTATAATATTGACTATTGAAGAACAATGTATTTGAACTTGAATGTATTAAAGCAGAGAATGAATAATAAAACAATTCCAGACATTCAAGAGGCTTACATCTCTCATCCTAAATCAACCACTAATACCTGAGTGAATTCCCTAGCTCCGCCTTATTACATTCATAGATATTTTATTATATTTATATTTCTCCTTTTACCATTTTGCTAACCCACTAGTGGAACACTCTAGAATCTTGAAGGAGAGTGAATCTTGTTGGAGGTGGAAGTCTATCAGATTTCTGTTGCGTTCTCAGGATTCGAACTCATAACTTCTATTTTTTGTAATGACCCGATTTTTGTGTCTGGCTATTCTCTTATATATTGTCCGTTTCGAAAGAGTTGAAACTCATCTTATTCCTCACGAATTTTTTCGCATTCCTAGGATTCGAACACATGACGTTCCCTTAGGAGAGACTTACGTAAGAGAATGGTTGGGCACGGGTTTCGAGTTGTAATAGGTGTGACTATTTCGGAATGGATAAATTAGAAAAATGAGAAGTCCACTAAAAAGATGTGGATAAAATTGTGATTAATTTAATGGATAACGACTTAGATTGTTATTTCATGTATTCTCTGTCTGGCCTTATTCACCAGAACCATGTGTTCCTAGTAAACAAAATTAGAATAGGTACAGGTAGACCAAAGGTAGCATTGTTTGACGTGGTTACAAAAAGTTTGATTTTATTGGACCCTTCTGAGTAGTAGTTTTGGACTGAACAAAGTAAGGAAAACGCAAATTAACTTGTGGTTTTTGTATCACTGTTACAATACCTTATTGTGTGAAGTTTAAAATGTTTGTTCTAATATTGTTGCTAATCACTTTGCATACTCAGTTTTTTTCCTTTCCTTTTAATCCTTCATTACATGCTTTCTATCCATGTGGTCAAATCTCTAGCCCATTGACCTTCTTTCCTTGTAACTCTTTCCTTTTCTTCTCTCTCACCCCCCTAATCTAAAGGTCATCCACTCTTTCTAAATATTCCGAACACCATCCACCATGGTGTTTCACTCTCATTCTTCTTGAATTCCCCCCTCCCAGGTCTCTTTCTGTATCAAAATCATTTGAATGTCTGTGATAGTACCTTTTGACCCTGATCTTTCAACCATCTCTTCCTTCATCTCCCTGCTGACAATCCTGTCCATCGTATTTCCCACCTTTGCTCCCTTAAAATTTCTGAAGTGATATGTTTTTTGGGAAAGCAACTTGTATTTTGTGTCTTGGTTCAGTGCTTCCACTAAAAATGTTCTAAATTGTGCTCCAATTGCTGAGAGTTAATCAACTCCGATGATTTATGTGACTTGGCATGGATGATATTAAGGTCCTTGTTCTACATGCTTGGTTTAACTTGGTTAAGTAATAGGTTATTCTGAAATGCAACTCATCCTCAAATTAGGACGAAATGGAAGGTTTCCCTTACCTAGTCCTTACTAGTTTGTTAAATCAATTGAGCCTCCACTTGAGCCAAAAAAACTTGATGTGGAAATTTCTGAAAATATCAGGTAGGAAACTGAGCCCTGGGAATTGCTCCTTTGTGAAGGAAAATGAAAATAAGAAAAATATCTTCTCTGTCCGTATTTGGTCTGAAAGAAAGTTCTGACTCACCTTTATCTCATGTAAGATAGCATTAAATGTCACTTGTGTTAGAAAGAAATTGTTGCAATGGGACCAACACTTTTGCTTTACGTCCAAGCCATTGAATATATTTCCTTCCCCTTCCTCGTTTCCATCGCAGTCTAATGCTGCTCAGCTTGACGAGCTTATATCTCCATTTTCGAGGGAGTTAAGACAGAATACTATAATCTGGATGGAAATTGCTAAACAGACGTGTTGCCAAGGAAATGGTATTTTCCTTTTTCACTTAAAGCGTCATTTGAGATATACGACTTTAGGCCAATCATTGCAATCCCAGATGAGAATTGCAACTTATCCACGTGGCACATTTAGAGGCGTGAGGTTCACTAAAAATATCAATGGCTTGCAGATTTCCTATAAAAGAGTAGCATCAGACTAGGGTTTTGCACGGAACGTCATTCTCCTTCTCTTCCTCTCTTCCATTTCCCGGCAGCGCAAACAAAACAAGGGTTTTATCTTTTGCAAACTCTTGGCCTCTATTTTGAGGGTCGATGCATGGGTATAGGTTTCTTGTTAGATTGAGAGTGATTATTGTGGCTTTTGTTGTATATTGTATGTTCTCTTGAGTCTTGAGTAAGATCTGTAGTTAGGCCAGTAATTTTTGAAGGTTGGGTGCTTTTGGTTGATGTTCTTTTAATCGTGTACTTTGAACTTTGGATATATGGCAGAACAATTGATATGGCACGGAACTCCAACAAATACGTAGGTCTGTTATGACTGAACTTTGGTAAATCTTGCATTTTTTGTTGGTTCTTCTTGAATCTTGTGGTTTAACAATTGGTGAGACTATTTAATGAGCCAAATCCTCCATGCCAATTATTAAAGAAAACAAATGACATCCAATGCACTGGTGGAGCCAATGCCAAGATGGGATAGTTATCCCCTCATCCCATCCCACCCCACCCCACCCACTGAGATTTTCAATTTTCTGAGCACTTCATCAATATGCGTTTCTGAGAAAATTGACTAAATATTGCTTCATTTATGGGTACTTCATGTATGCAGTTCTGCCTTGTATATCCTTTTTTCCTTCCCTTTCGCAACTCACGTCTGTTATCTTTTTTATTCCCTTCCTCTGTTTGCTCTTTTTTGTCCTTATTTTTTCACATGCCGCCTTCCTTCTTTCACCTTCCATTTCCAGAAGCTGATTTTTTTCCCCTTTTAATGCATAGCACGCACCTTGTTTATTTCCTTTCCTTCTCTTATTTCCTTTTTGTGTTTTAATTTATATTGATTTTTTATTAAGCTCTCACTAAATAAAATTCTTGACTCCACACTAGATCCGATGTGGACTAATTTCATGTGGAGCACGTTTAATTAAATATAAAAGTTCACTTAATAACTTATAAATACATATGTAAGTAAAAGAAATACTTTTCTTTTTGATAAAAGCATAAAAATATGCATATTACTAATTTCGTTTTGAAAGTTCGGTGATAGTACTTTCAAAATAAGTAACTTCATAAGCTTAAAAGCAAGAGTAAGGGGCATGTTTGGTGAAGCTTAAAAACACGTTTTCTGATAGCATCATCTCACATATGCTAAAAAGATCCTTTTAAGCACCCATTTAAGCTTAGCCAAACATGATGTAGGTTGTCATCAAAACTTGTTTGGAACAAAGTAACTTTTACCAATATTACCAAAAATGGGAAGGACCAGTTGGTTTGAGAACTAGGAATCGGTCTGGTTAGCCTTTAAAAACTGTACGATAGAATTCCGATTGCGAACCACTGAGCTAGCTTGGTTGAACAGGGACCCATTGGTTTTCTCGGTTTCGCAAGGTCAATTTTAAAAAAACCGTACGCATTTTATTTCTGCTCAAGTCATCTCATCACTTAGGGTGTATAACTTCATCTGAGCCACCTCACGAATTTTCTCTTCCCTTTCCAAATCATTTTCTTGCCTTTTCTTCTTCATTTCTAGTTTGATTCTTTCGAAGCTCAACTTCTTCGATGCTCGGAAATCATCACGTCTTCAGTTCTTTAAGTTTATGTTGCTTCTTTCGTTTTCTCATTTTCTTATACAAAACTCACAAGCATGGAAAGTTATTGGGTGGGGGGCTTGGAAAAATCTACTCGAGAGTTGTATTGGAATGGAAAGAATTAATTTCTCCCTAATTGAGCATTTTTAATATGAGCAGAAATTAAATGGAATAATTTGATGAACATGGTTCCAACAGAATGGATTACCTTTTCTGGTATAATATGGTTTGAAGCTAACTATAATAATTTAATTTAAAGCATATTGTGATTATCTCATTTTTTGCTATGTTTAGTTTTCATTTTTCTGTTCTGCTTAGTTTTCGTTATTTTGTCCTGCTCAGTATTAAAGTTACTTGCATTTTGTAATTGAATTGAATGGCAAAATTTGTATTACTTATTTTATTTGACTATTTTGTGCTAATTGTATGCTTTGAGTTGTTGATGCAGTTATTTTTCAACAGTCAATCTCGCAAGTAATTCAAACTAATGTTATGAAAATCAATTACAGCATATTTATTTAAATTTTTCTGGCATGGTCTCTTTTGCACGAGGTCTTTAGAAATCCATTTACTACCTGTTAATATTTGGTTTCTCTATCCTTTTTCAACGCTTGACTTTCCTAAGCTCTTTGTCAATGCACGACTAGTATGCACCATTTACTACAATTGACGTGTCTTTATATATTATAGCTCATCTTATCTTATAGACTACAAAATGCAGTTCTTAGGACTTATTTAGCTTAAAATATTCAATGAAAACATGTATAAGTTAGAAGCTTTTTTTATCATGTCATTAAGATCTATCTCATATAATATACGTTTACAAGGCGTCGTAGCCATATCTTTCCATGGTTTCTTAGCTTGAGTGAGACCGATCATTGTCAAGGATAGCTTCTCTTTCAAGCAAACCCAATGCACTTTAAATACTCCAAACTAGTTTTGTTATCAAAATCTACTTGAATCTTCGTAAATAATTTCACTAGAATAACATCTCAATATTGGAACCACACTACTATCATATTTGGTTAAGCTTAAAAAAGGGGGAAAAATAATTTTAAAAATCAGCCAAGGTATCAACAAGGAAAAGAGAAACGACCAAGGCGTCAACTAGTAACGTTTTTTGCTTTTAGATTACTAGTTTAGCCTATTGACCATTTTTTATTTCCCTGGCTGATGCTTGACCATTTATTAAAACATTATTATTATTATTATTATTATTTTTTTTTTTTAATATTTTTTTTTTACTATTTCTTTGCTTGACCAAACATTCTAGTAATGCCCTTGCACTTTAGATTGATATTATAGTGAAATAATTTATAGAAGTTCAAGTAGATTTTGATGACTAAATTGGCTAGGAATATCTTTTCAAAGTTTATTGGGTTTGCTTGAAAGAGAAATTATCGTTGATAGTGAGTGAGCTCAATCAAGTTAAGAAACTATGGATAGATATGACTATAATGACTCGTAAACGATGATTAAATAATGTAGATTTTAATGAGATGGTAAAAATGTTTCTAAATCATACATATTTTTTGAAAATTATGAGCTGAATAAGTCCCAATAACTGTATGGTTTAGTTAACAAGGATTTTAAGCATTGACAAAGACATAAAGATAAGTAATAACAAATATACAAATGAGATGGACTATACATAATAGGCGAGTGGATCATTGACAAAGGTACACTGACCAGTCAATGCATTGATAGAGGCTAAAAAAGCCAAGTGTTGAAAAATGATGGACACACCAGGCACTGAATGAGCACCTTGTGCAAGAGATCATCTTAGAAAAATTTGGATGAATATGTTGCAATTGATTTTCATAATGTTACCTCTATTTTTTGTGACGTAATTTGATGGAGACCCTTATCAAAGCTAAAGAGGAGTTCCATGATCTGGTTCTTGGCTCATTTGTGTGGATCAGAAGGAAGATTTTGTAGGCTTGTCCAAGTTGTAGATACGTACGTGCACAACTTTATTAAAAGCATCTTTATCTTGTTAATTCTTTCTTTTCTTTAATGAATCTTAAAACAAATTGTGCTAGTCAAACATTTACTGAGTTAATTCAATTTTAATATCAGATAAGGTGGCTGAGCCACATGGAATTGGTTGCAAGTCAGCAGATATCATGCTTGAAGTTCCAAACTTAAAAGAGTAGAAAGAGGCTCTATCAATTTATGCTAGTACAGATTAAGAATTCTCCAAGGTGATCGGAGATACAGATTGATATACTTCTCTCTGAATGTTGAATTTATTATGTTTCTTGGAGTTCCTTGACGTTTTTCACATGCAGTGAATGTATAGGAGAAATTCAGCTTCTGAAGTTCGAAAACCAGCTGAGAATTTGTGGAGTTCCAGAATCCCATGATCAAAATACAAACCCAAATTATGAATCAGAAGAAGACACCAAACTTGGGAATAACAGTAAGCCAGGTAAGACTACATTTTTGGGTGGTTATTTTGTCAGATTTGTTCTTTATTAATTAGACATTTGTTCTATGCTTGTACGAAGGTAAAGAAGAGGGCCGATCCACTCACAAAATAAAATTTGAAGAAAAAATAGAAGCGAGTGGATCACATGGTTGGGAGAATTATGCAAATCAAGAAAATACTAGTAGCTCGGCAACTGGAGGGATCCACCGAGACAAGAATCAAGGATGCTACTCATACCATATGTAACTTTAACTTTTGTGCAAAGTCAGTTTAGTTCTTTAAGTTGATTCAAAAGTTTATGCAGTTCTCTATGAAAATGCGGTTTTAGTTCGATGCTGCAGCATTATGTCAGAACTAACTTCGTGTACTAGTACATTAGAACTGAATTGTGAACGTGTACGAATTAATTTATAGAATTATAGAATACATGAAATTGTCTAATGCAGTAAGTAAATATCTTACACATGATATAACAGGGTAAATTTCTAAGGGAAACATGAATGATCCTCGAGTCATTAGTAAATTATCCACTATAGAAAAGATACAAACATTTTGTGTTTCGGTGTTATAACTATTTCTTGACCACGTCACATATGATTAATTTAAGATCAAAATTAAACTAAATCAAAAGGAATTGAAAAATTTCCTTGTTTTAGCTCGTTTGATTTGTCAAGGGATGGAATTAAGCACAGGATATGGATCTTTCGCCACTCATTTCGTATGATTGTGATGAATTTTTGCACAAATTGGAATAAGAATCACATTCTTATTTTACATCAAAATACAACTTCTTTTTGAATCAATTTTACACACTAAATCAACAATGCCTTTAAATTAAAAACAAAAGGAAGCTGCAAGTGAGAGAAAAAAAATTAAAACGTTGTGTCCTAATTTCTTGTTATTCAACGCGTAGTGATTATTTTCCTAGAGTTATTTTCTAAATCGAAGAAAGGTGTAATCGACCGGCCCATTAGGTCCTGAGGATCCGAGGCACCCCCAAGTAGCCTTCCCTACTCATACGAACGGCAAGCTAAGATATTCAACATAGCACAATAGAAGGACATAGAAATCTTGTCATCATACTTATATGAGGGACATTGTTAAGGACATAGAAAATTTGTCTTCATACTTATATAAGGGACATTGTTAGTGCACTTCCGTAAAATATAGCAATAAACCTGTAATAAGCAATCCTGCCTTACCACATAGGTAGGGGAGATATCTAGGTCTGTGGCAAGTTGGCATTCATTTGCATCCAAAACCACCGCCCCCAGTCCACGGTATTGCTTTCCCTCACGATGGTGGTTTTCAACCTAGAAAACCTGACTTCGTTGTTGCGTCCTCTGTCGGCTTCTGCCTGCGTCCCCAGCCTGTATTTGCCTACACAGTATGCCTATGTTGCTGTTGCTCCCTTGTCACAGTCTGCCCGTGTTGCTTTTGCATCACCTATTGCAATGCCTACACCGTCCATCTGAGTTTTGCCTATCTGCATCCTCCCTGCTGCAGTACCTATCTTGGTCCTACCTGCATTCCCTGCCACAATACCCGTGTTGGTGCTAGCTGCGCCTGCAACCCTTGTTGCAGTGCCTATGTTTCCCCAACCTGCATTTCCTATTACAGGTACTTTCGTCCAGCCTTAATGCACTGCCCGTGTTACTTGAATTTTTCAGCCGCAACTTGGATGTATCGACTGCGATCGTGGGGACTAAGTCACTCTCCAACCAAATTTGGATACCTCGTCGTGATGTACTGTCGAAACTTAGACCTAATTTGCCATAGGTTTAACTCATTTTCCCACTTAGTGCCATAACATTCCCATGTCATGCCAAGCCTCTAGTCATTCCCTTGCAACTTGTGACAAAGGGCTCCTAAGGAAACGAATACTTACTGAAACAATCGGCCAAAAGTAGGTAAGAATAGATCATTAAACCAACAAATAAAACTGCGAAATATCTGAGAATTGATGGAGAAGCCAATAAGGAAAATTCAATATATATTGGAGGATTTCATGCTAATTCCGTCGATTTGTTTGACTCCAACACGATTAATCTATTGGTCTCTACATGCTTTTATTCTTTAGATGTTAATTCTTCAGGCAAAATGACAAGGATGTCTTCCGTAAGCATGTCATCATCATCATTGTCTACATACAGATCATCTGGGAGAAATATCTCCACTTCATCTGAAGTGGCCAACAAGAAGCAATTCTCAATTTAATACATAGCACTACAGTTTTCCACAAGTCAGACTCGCCTCCTCGTCAATGACCGATGGAAGAAACAATCCTTTGGCATGTCATCCTCACCTAGTTCAACACGTGAAAGTGTATCCTGTCATGTAAAATTGTTTCATAGTAAAGACATCTCCGACAATCATGTCATCGTCAAGGATTAATCATTGCATATTATTGCTAGTCTCTTGCTTCTTGTTATTCATTGTAAATGAAAACAAAGGTAGATAATTGAAAGCGAAAAAGAAAAATCAAACAAAAGCTAGAAATAATTTAAATCAATGTTAAATAAAATATTCCCAATAACAACGCTAAAAAACTAATGAATATTTTGTATCGCAAATGTATGATACAGTGAACAAGAAATAAAATGCACATAAAAGTCCAAATTATTGTTCCTCAGAGACAACTATTTAATAGTTGATAAAACTTCAATTCAATTGAAAACAATAAATTTTTGTTTTTATTTTTATACTAAAAGCTATAAATCTACTAAAATGGTAAACAGATGGACGGGTGAAAAAGTTAGAATTTTGGTAAACAGAATTTTGGTAAACAGATGGAGGGGTGAAAAAGTTAGAATTTTTATGATTCACAAGTTTACCATAACTATCCCCTTAATCCCAATCACCAAATTTCGATAAATATTAATTTTGTTTACTTGGTCAAATTCTTTTAAATTAATTGATTTATCTCTCTCCTATTCAAACCAATCCTCAATTAAATTTAACTCACTATATCTCTATGTCAATCAACTTAAGCATTAATCAAGAATATTCAATCACCGAAGAATTCAATTTAATGACTACAACAACCACAAAAGTGCATCTCTAACTTTAATCTAAATTGCAGGTTTTTACTATATGATCTAAACAAATAATTCACCTCTTGACATTATTACCGTTCATGAATCAATGAATTAGTTATCAAATATTTATAAGCATGAACAAAAAAAGTAAAAACAATTCATAAAATGACAATTTAAAATCTTGATATGATAATTAAAGTTAATATTCAAAAACTAGGTCACATTCATTCGTCTCTATTAATCGTTTAGTTAAACATCAAGAGAGAAAAAAAATTCAAGAAAAGATTAGAGTACATCATCGAGTTTGAAGGAAAAACAAGTAAATTTGATGATCTTGCACTAAGCATTTTTTTCTCCCAATCCAAGAATTTCAAAATCCTAGTTTCTTCATTTTTGTCTTGATTGTTCTCTCTAATTTTCTTATGGTGTAACCCCATTTTTATGATTTATCTGGGCCATTAAATGAGAATGATTTTAATAAATTTTAATGACTTATGGCTTAATTAGATGTTAATTTTGTTTGTTAGGTAAAACTTGAGACAAATAGGTGGAATTGGAAGAAATGAATGAAAACGGGCCAAAGTGAAATAAATTCGAAGTTCGAGGACCAAAGTATAACATCCAATTGTTGATTTGGAGCATAAAATAATGATTGAAGATCACATATAATCAATTAGATACAATTGGAGATCAAATGAGTGAAATATAGTTCAAAGTATTTTTCACAAATCAATTTCTAGCTGAAAAGTTATGCCCCAGTTCTTCAACCTCAGATTGAACCCATTTTTGGATGGAAAACGTTTGAACTGGAAAATTCCTATTTTTAGAAGAATTGTATCCCTATGAGTTATATTTCCAACATGCTTTGAATTACCTTAATCGAATATCGAAAGAGAAAGTTATGACTAAAATACAGAAAGTTGTTAAGGGATCAGTGTGCGCTGGGAAAATTGTTCTCTCGAACCCAAGAGCCATTTTCACTCAACGGTGCGTGCAGACTTCGCAGATGAATTAGCAATTTTCTTTTGCGATTCAAACCCTTTTCGAACCCAAATTAGATGCGATTTTAACCTATTTTCTAGCTATTATATATACAAAACAAGGGCTATTCATTGGGAGAACTCTCTCTCGTCTCTTCATACACAATAATATCATCAAATTCATTAAGAACAATAAGTCAATTGATTATTTTTGAGTGAAAAGATGAAGCCATAGTAAGGAATTGGAGCCAATTATATCAAGATTTTGAAGAATTTAACCTTGAAATCGAATAACATGATTTTTTACATTCTTTCATGATCCAGGTGATATTTTTCTATTATATTTCTTGTGATTTATGTATTAATATGCTAGATTATATTCGGCTTTTGTATGGGATGAAATGAACTCTATTATTTATTTATTTTATTTCAAGACTAGTAGTTTAATTTATTTCTTGAGTTTCTTAATTATTTTTGTATATCTATTGCATTATTTATGATGAGTGATTTACACTCATTATATTATGTTATTAATTTCATGATTTTGTTATCTTGGAGAATATTTTAGAGGTGCTAACATGTGGTTTTCACACCACTTTGAAGGATGGATGAAGTGGAGAAAACAAGTGCTAAAAGAGGCCAAATGAAAGAAATAGGCAAAAGTTGGTGAAATTGGATGAAAGGACCAAAATGTAAGAGATCCAAAGTTCGAGGACTAAAGTGCACATAATCAAAAGTTGTATTGGAACTTGCAATGAAGATACGAGAGTGGTAGGAGTCAATTGGATGAAGGAAGGTGTCAAAAGGGAGCAAATTTAATCAAGATATGATCATAAATTATTTCCCAACCGAAAAGTTTTGCACCGAATTTTTAGTCCCACATTCAGACTCATTTTCGACATAGCAAATGATCAAATTGGAGAATGATGCCTGAAGCAAAATTGTAGCCCTTTGAATTATCTTTCCAACGCATCTTGAGTCACTTCAATTGGATATTGAACAAGAAAGTTATGTTGAAAATATTAAAACACGCGTAGAATACCGTTTCGGGCGAACCGGGCGCCCAAGCGCTATACCCTTAGCGCCCAGGCGCCGCAATTCAGTAATTTCAACAGAAACTTAGCGCCCGGGCGTCCAAATCAAAGCGCCCAGGCGCTGCATGCCGAGAAAGGAAAAATGCAATTTTTCCAAATATTTTCACCCGGCCCAACTCCAACTTGTAATGCAAATTAAGGGGATTATAAATACATATTGAGAGACCTAAGAAAAAGGTTTTGACGGCTGAAGAAAGGAGGCAAGGATATACACTAATTGAGAGAAGAATCGTTGGATCTTGGAGAAGGAATCAAACTGCAACCTGAGTTTTTTCTTATCTTTCTCTTCTCCATGAGATTTAATTTATATTTTATCATGTTCTTCTCCTCAATCATGAACTAAGTTATTAAATTTAGGGTTCGATGTAACCTATTTGAGACATGATTCAATTTCTTTATAGTATTTCCATTTAATTTTCCAGAATTGATTTGTATTGTTCTTGCTTAATGCTTTCGGTTGTTTGATCACCAATTGAATGAATTGATGCTCTAAGTTTAACGCTCGAGAGAGAGAAATTTAGACATGATCTAAGAACAATATAACCTATATTTGTAGATTTCGAGAGAAAGTGCAATTCTTTGAGGGTAAAACAAGAACCAAGTGCGTGACAATCTTTATAAATTTAACTCGGAATAGAGATATTGAGATTGAATTATAGAGATAGGTTCTATTTGACGCTCGAGAGGGGGAAATAGAATTAATTTAGGATTCTTGCCTATGAATTCGGGAAATAATTAATGGAAGTATCTATAGGGGTTGAGAATCATGTTGATAATATGGTGAAATCATTCCCTAGACTTTATGAAATTCTAAATTAATCTTTAGAAATTGCCTCACTTTTCTTGCATTATTAAATTCATCGACATTAGTTTAGCATTTAAACATCAAATTAACATCCGATTGTCTAGATAAAGTAAACGCAGACATAATTATGTACTCAGTGGAAGTCGAATATCAATCCCTGTGGGTTCGACACTTTTCAATTCTTTAATATATTACAAAACTTGACACCGTGCGCTTGCGGTATAAAATCACGTTACATAAAATGCGTGGCAATTTAATTGCTTGATTACCAACTAGATAATTAGTTGTTTGTTGCAGTGTTGAGAGACCTATAATAGTTTTAGAACATTGCAAAATTAACATATGTACAATAAGATGTTATGAATAACATTTATTACTTGTGCATTTATAAAGATATCTAAATTTAATGTGTTCTAACCATTTAAATTCAAGTTAGGAATATGTTCGAGTCGTGATTAGGATAAAATTAATTTATCTTGAAAAGCAAGTTAAATACATTAACTTTATCAATTGTCAAGAACACATGAATAGAATTAGATTATAAATTAAGAATTTATAACAATATGTGGACTCTAAATCCAATAAATTCCTCCATAATTTGATATAAAAATACTTTTACCTCTTTCTTAGATAATTTAGTATAAAATCAAATTAAAATCTTTATTTTGTTTTACAAAATTCGAATTCCATACAAAACTAGTAAATTTGAATTAAATTAATTTCCAATGGGACATACTTTCAAATCACTTAATTTATTACTTATCAATGATCCCGTATGCTTGCAAAATTTTACTGAACAATGGCCTATAATAACATATACAAATTTCATAGAATGCATATTTCAACAATTAAAATCAATTAACTGAGCCCTATTTGAACCTCATTCTTTGAAAAAATATATATTTTTAAACGGTATTTTGATATCATTTTAATCACACATTCTTTAATAAAATAACATTACACACATGTTCAATTTTTTTTTTTTTACTTTTTAATTACACATTTCTCTTCAATACATTATTTAAAAATTTATTTTTATAAAAAGAATGGTGGTCAAACAATGTCTAAATTTATGAAACCAATTTAATAAATATTAAAATATGGCCTATACTTTTCCCTTTTTATTTTTATTTTTTTGGTTCACTCTCTGATATCAAGTAAGAAGGCTTGAATCTAAGGATACATTAACTCAAGAAGGCTTGAAACTAAGGATACATTAACTCCTTTCTCTGCTCTTCCAAGTGTAAATTATGAATTTGTTGACTGAATTGAGTTCATTATTGCCTCTCTTCAATGTTACTTTATTAACATATAACCTTTGATTTAGTTAAAAATTAATAATTTTGATAAAAAAAAAAAGTGAAGAAATGTGTAGTTAAAAAGTCAATAAAAATTGCTAATTTCGTAAATACGTGGTTATATTAATTTTTGACTTTGACTTGAATTCTTATAAACTTTTTTTGCTAAACTTAACAGGAATTTGGACAAAAATTGTCTATTGAGTAAACTGAAAACAAAATAAAAATGTAGGTGATCAACTTTCTCAATTTTAAAAGTTGAGGACTAATACGGCAATATTTCTTTCAGACTGCCAAAGGGGAGATTGTCAACCGAAAAATTGCATTTGACTGGATAACAGACATTTTTCTACGAAGGTACTGAGTCCGATCTGAATTAAAAGGGTCTTAAATTTTATAGAGAAAATCAAGAATCCATCGACGAGAAACCTAATTACTGTTGCTCAATTTCAATTTCAATTTCAATTTCGGTTTTCAGGTGTTAATAGCGGAAGGCCACAGGTCACTTGATAATAAATTCATTCAAAATAATTGGAATTGGGAGAAAAATAAGAAAGAATGTCGTCATCGTCGTCGATTTTGACGCCGACGCAGAAGTACGCGGCAGGAGCGTTGTTTGGGCTGGCGCTGCATCAGGCTCAGATCCACCTGACTCGCCCATTGGGTTTCCCCTCTGTTGACGACGATGGCGGCCGCTCTTCGGAGGAGCGTGTCAGCAATGGCAGCAGTTCTGACTCCGTTTCGGAGGATCCCCAGCTTTGGGTCCACGAATCTTCTTGTCTTCTTCGCCCAATTTTCAAGTAATCTTTTCCTCCCTCTATAATATGTGTGTACTTATATTTGCCCATGTGAACACGGGAGTGTGCTTGCGGGTGTGCCTGTGTGCATATGAAGTTGCAAAAAAAATTATGGGTGTTTGATTAGGGATAATAAATTGCTGTGGAAAACTTTTATTTGAGGCTGATAACTGAACAGGTTTCTAGAGATTGACAAGAAAGCGTGGTCGGGACTCGAGGAAACTTCTGGATGTTCACCACCAAAGCATCATGTTGGAGCAGTAAGTTCTTTACCTTCTGATTACTTTTATTTTGCTTATAATCATTAGATGTATGCCTGACAGATCAAACTTCCTAAATGCGCTTGCTTTTATACATTTAGTGCGTTTGGGAAAACTGGGTAGCCAGAATGATGAATGCAGCTTGATTGCCATTATATATGTCAACAGGCGAGTGGAAAAGAGGCATCCCACTATCGTCAAGACAATAACCTAACCAATAAAGCTCACAGCTATTGTAGCTATAGCACTAGATTGTGTTTTGGCGGATGAGCAAGAAATGGTATATTGTTTCTTTGTTTTCCATAAAATGAGCAAGACCCTAAGAATGCAGTAGCCGATCAACACATATTATGAATCAAAGGAGCAAAATGTAGAATTGTATTGCTAAAAAAGATGAATTACAAAGTGTTGTTGAACTTTTGAGAGGTTCAACTAATTCCAATTTTCTGAATACCCCAAATGAAACTACCTCCCTTATTAATAGATAGTTGCTTGCCTATACTACTTATTCTCCTGAACCCCCAAAATACCCCACAATAACTAAATATTAATCTGGAGTTCTATCAATACTCCGACCACGAAATTCACCTTGTCCTCAAGGTTAAAGTCTGCGGAATTACTGATTTTGGGATACCATTCCACCGAACAATTATTATTATTATTATTATTATTTTTGGGCTAGAACTCCAGTCACAATCATAGTGAAAAAAGGGATGGTTCAGCCTGTTGAAGTGCGTGGATCTACTTGCAACTCTCTGTAGTATATTATCTAATAGAACTCCCAAATTCAGTTGCACCTACCAACAGAATTCTCAATTTTCAGACCAGGTCAACCAACTTAAAATTGTGGACAGGCCCAAAATCCATCACCAAGTCCCACTACCCAAATTGCCTGTGGACCCATATTGTTTAGGAGCTGTCACCCAACAACAGAAGTTATGGATAGCTCCATCAGATGTCTAATAACATTTTGTTTCCCCAAAATCCATCACCAAGTCCCACTACCCAAATTGCCTGTGGACCCATATTGTTTTAGGAGCTGTCACTCAACAACAGAAGTTATAGATAGCTCTATCAGATGTCTAGTAACATTATGTTCCTCATCTGCTACCTGTCCCTCGCTGCTGTTAATTTCCATTCTGCTGGATTACTTGTAATTCCTTGTTTCTACAAGGATGCCCAATTAAAAATTCTTGTCACGCTGGAAGCACACATCCTTTTTATTTTGGACTGCAATTCGACATCCTTAATTTGCTTGAAGGAGCTTGTTAATTTCAGATTAGGGATTGGCTTGGCAAAGGAAGTTGTTGCTGGTAAGAAGTGATGGAAGCATGAGTAATGTGCTTGGGTTATATCCTGAATTTGTATTCTTAGCACAAACAGGACCTAATCCCACTTAGTCATGCTTCAATGATAAAGTTCGGTTCTCTACTGTTAGGCCTTATCCAAGTTATAGCTCAATCCAGTGGAACTTAATAAACTCTCCTCAACCCAAATTTCCTGCTTAGGTTCACTAAAGCTATCTCCTTCCAACGCAGAATCTCAAACCTCCTCCAATGTCAACTCTAGTATTGCAAATCGTCAGTCATTTTTCTTCACAGCCTCCATGCGATCCTACTTTAGCACTGCAGATTTACCACCGAGGGTACTCTAACAAGCATCCAAATATGGAATAGGATCACGGTTCATCATATTAGAATCTAAATATGGTTAGGTATATTATATAGCTAGGTTCGCGTGTAGAACTATTATAGACAACATGTGACAGCCAGGCCTAACACACAACCGACCCTGGGGCTTTAGTTACTTACGTTAGTCTCCCATGCTAACATTTTCTTGCTCGGGTCCTCAAATATATGAATAAGAGGAAAACATAATGAATTGTCCACATACATTAGACTCTAAACTATCCTTATGGCAGATTCAACAGCCATGGTGGTGATGCTCACATGTCTATACCCTCTGTGATACCATGTTGAAACACCCATCTATCTCTAAACTAATTGGTAATGAGTGTACATGCAATTGGGAGCCATTAATTGGCATGAAATGTCATAATTAATTGAAACAGAACAAGTAACAAATTCCCTGTTTGTACAACATTTGCACCTGGGAAGGTGAATTAGACAAGCTACAGTTATGGTGCAGTTGTTAACGAGAATAGGGTGCAACTTTGCACAATGTATATTTAAGGCGAGACAATGGCACAAACTAGGGAGAAATGTGAATAAACTGATTCAAGTATTTTAACTTTTAAATGAGACTTATTCTATGCTTTTAATGCCAAACTGTAATACTACGATAAAATTATACAATTGATGATCAACGATGAAAAAATGAGTAAATTTGCTGAGAATAGAATATGTTTTAATTTATGATGATACTAATTCATTGGTGTATCATCAAATCTCCAAAACATTATTACTGAAAAGAATACATTTGGTCCACTCGAAGTTTTTTGTGTATAAGATTAGCTTCTAACAGTGGTGAATGTGATAATATCTCTGATCTAGCCTATGTTTAAGCATATAAACAAATCAATTGAGCTATAGCCCTTGTTTGGGCTCCATTAAAAATAAATTTTGAGGAAAATGTATTTTAAAATAGTGATTTTTTGGAGACTGCGTTTTTAAAATAATGGAGCCCAAGCAAGGGCATATTATTGAAGGTACGATTATCCACAAAAAAAGTCAATTACTATGAAATAAATACACTTCGCGTGGCACAAGTAACTAAATAACTAGAACTAAATAGTCCGTATATTATACTAAAACAATCAAAATATAGTCAAGAAATACAACATGACTGGTAAGAATATCCTGAACAAAGTAAAAAAATATTATTATTCTTATGAAAATCCCCAATAATGTTGACCAAAGCAACTACAATGCAAGAATTAAATAGTCTGCATATTGGTGGGGCTTGAACTTCGATATCATGTCCTAGGGCATTAACCTTTACCACTTGAGGTACGTTGCATTGGCCACAATTTTAAAACTCTGACTTTTAATATTTTCAGTAATAGCACTAGAAGACGGCCATAAACTGGTTGAGCTATTGCCCTTGAGGAATCTTATTGGGAGTTGTTGCTTAGAATGGGAAATTTTGGCCATCATTGCCTAAGATGTTTATTTTATTGTGACTTGCTTCTTCATTTTGATACTTTTTCTTTATGCATACTGGAATTTGGGAAGATAATTAAAAAAAGAAAAAAAGAAAAAAAGGTGTTTTGGCTTACCAAACGTAATGATACCAACTACAAGGATAACAATTTCTGTATAAATCGTATCAGTTCACAATCTGCATGAAGTTTGATACCATTTTAATATGCTTGGGCTTTACCCACCAGCATTTGTATATCAAGATGTTCACTGTCAGATCATTTTGAGTTACTATAACAAATTTGTGTTACGCTATGTCGTGCCTTCCTATGCTCAATTGTGAAATATACGGTGGTTGATTGCAATTACAGAAGTGCTCATAAATCCTGATAATTATATTAGCGATATTCTATAAGGTCCTATGGATCTGTTGCAGCTAATGCATATGAAATCACCTTTTTCTTTTATTCAGTTCCTAAGGATTCTTGCAGAAGAAAGTGGTGGCATGTCTTCAGAAGCTGTAGATAAGGAACATGCTTTGGCGAATGGCGTGGATGCCATGGCTTCAAGCATGGAAAGAACTTCTGTCGATGATGAGTCCAAGAAGGAGAAGCATCGCGAGTATAAGAATGCTTGTCAGGAGAAGTTTTCGAGTGCTGAAACAGTGTCCAAAACTAAACACGAAGAGGAAAAAGTGCCTGACAATAGTCAGCAGGAGATAAGTCACAAGCCATCTATCACTGAACAAGCACATGTACAAGCCAACTTTGAATTTGATGAAAAACAATTGGAAGAGGTAAGTTATCCAAGGAAAGTGGCAGTTCTATATGAGCTTCTTTCAGCTTGTCTGGCAGACATACCTGGAGATGACAAGAAATGCACCAGGGAAAGAAAGGGATATGATGCAAGACACCGTGTGGCATTACGGTTGCTAGCTGCATGGTTTAATGTGAAGTGGATTAAACTGGTATACTTGCACGTTATTGATATATTCAATTGTCCAGCTATATATTGTGCAAACCATATAAAATTTCTAACATTCTGTGGTATAATATTTTGTTTTATAATGCTTTAAGTTGCTTGTTATGGATAAGAATGCCAAGTAGTTTTGCACTTTGTATGAGGTATGATGGACCTAGCCGAGGAATGTCATATTATGCTAAATTACGTACTAGGATTGCATCAGTAACAGGGTACAAAAAGGATTCTGTGCGTCAACATGAAGCAGCAGACATTCTCATCTTCTGAACTGAATTGTTGGGGAAGTGTGAAGGATTTTATGTTCACGCCTTTGTATCAAGCAAAGTGAAGTACATTCAAGTTTGTTTGGTCAAAAAGTTTCTCGCCTTGTGCCGTGGCTAATTAGAAGGTCAAAATTATACGTACATTCAAGTTTGTTTGGTCAAAAAGTTTCTCGCATTAAATATGACGTTTCTGTTTCCATTAATGGTGAGAAATCTTTTTTACCTGTTTTAAAAATCTGCTTCTGGTATTCTGGGAAGTATAACCAAAGTTGGAGTCGATGGAAAGTGTTTCCAGACAAAGAAAGCAAATATGACTTGCCATAGCTTTCATGTTTTCTTCGATTTTGATTTAGGGTTAATGACCGAGACATTTTTATTAAAAAGCTTAAAGCAAAAATAATGACTTTTCTGTTGTCATTAATAGTGTGAAGTCTCTTTTGCCTTTAGTAAAAATCTGCTATAATATTGCCATAATCAAAGTTGGGGTTGATGCTGCATGCTTTGTTGAAATAAAGAAAGCAAATGTGACTTGGAACGTAGTTCTTGATTTGATTTAGGGTTAAATAACTGAGTCATTTTTGTCCTATGTTCTTCTTTTCAAAGATGTTATCGTTTGTTTTCAGCCATCTGATGTTTTTCTTTATGATCAATCTTTAAGAGAAATAATTATGAAGTACTATATCTGATACATGTCTATGCGTATTAACCTCACATGATATGTCAATCTTTCCTGAGAAGAGCATTTGATTGCCGTTGGAAAAATGATCCTAACTTAGAATTTTTGTAAGCTTTTATAGTGATAAGATTTTGGATCAGTTTTCGAATCTTGTCATTTGTTTCCTCAAGAAATTATGTCTTTGCAGGAAGCCATGGAAACCATGGTTGCTTGTTCAGCAATGGCTCTACTAAAAGAGGAAGAATCAAAAGAAGAAACCCAATCTCCAAAAACCTCATGGGCTAAGTGGAAACGTGGAGGTATCATAGGTGCTGCTGCATTAACTGGAGGAACCTTAATGGCAATTACTGGCGGTATGATACATTTTTTACTTTCCTGGATTGTTTGTGCATATTCCGAGAATGAGCTCAGTTAGCAAATAAATTGTTATGGAATATACATATTTACTCTCTCACGTGTCTCTCTACATCAGGTTTAGCTGCTCCAGCAATTGCTGCAGGGTTTGGTGCTTTAGCACCCACATTAGGAACTATAATCCCAGTGATTGGAGCAAGTGGGTTTGCTGCTGTTGCCACTGCTGCAGGAAGTGTTGCTGGTTCTGTTGCAGTTGCAGCATCTTTTGGTGGTGAGTACTTAGATGGATTGGTAGGATAGCAAGATTTCTCGTCTGAATTCTTTTCTTGCTGAGTATCTTAATATAAAAAGTTGGTGATTGAGCTATTGCTGCTGCTATGCTCTTCATGCCATGAAATAACAATTTTAATGATGTCAATTCATCTGAAAAATCACCAGATAGCTTGTTTAATCCAATCTGATATTTTTTTCTGATATTTTAATCCACCAGCTGCTGGAGCTGGACTTACAGGCAGTAAAATGGCTAGGAGAATTGGAGACGTTGATGAATTTGAGTTCAAAACGATAGGAGAAAATCATAACCAAGGAGTAAGTTTCATAGCTTTGCCTAAATAGAAAAAAGAAAAGATGTTTGGATACATTTCATACCTTTTGATCCCTGGTAGCTTGTTTAATGGGATTTAGTGGATATTAGTCCATGTTGAAAGCTTCTGCAGTATTTTATTTTCAACTTCTTATAAAGTGGAAACACGTGTTTGTTGGCACACTCAATTTTTTTGTCTTTCCTCATATAAGCTTATTTTGTCAGCTGCTAGCAGTTGAGATCTTGGTCTCTGGATTTGTTTTTGAGAAGGAAGATTTTGTAAGACCCTGGGAAGTACAACATGATAACTTGGAGAGGTAGACTGTCTTTCCTTGCATGTTTTAGTGCTACAACTAAAGATATTAACATTATTATATCCTCTCTTGTTGAGGTCTGGCCTGTGTTAAGGTCTAGTAGTTGTGGGATTCAATGGTTGGTCCCCATCAATTGGTATCAGAGCAGGTCCACGTCACAGGTTCCGAATCCCAGAAAGGGCAACCCAAGCGAAGTGTCGAATACCAATAGCCAAAGAAGGGCCGCCATGAACGTCGGATTTGGGACCGTGGGGTATTGTTAGGGTCTAATAGTTGTGGGATTCAATCACTCTCAACCCTGGGCTTTTGGGAGAGATGGTTGGGTTCCTATCAGCCTGTCTGGTAATTGGGCAAAGCAAGTGATGTTAACACGATCATATTTTTCTTTTTAATTTTTAAAAATATGTTCAGTGAAACTCCTTGGTTATGATGTTGCATGTCTCCTTACCAAATCTATATGGTAGAGACTTGTATTCTTCTGAACATGTATTATGATGCTATTATTTCTAGGTATGCACTGCAGTGGGAGTCTAAGAATCTAATTTCTGTAAGCACGGCAATTCAAGACTGGCTTACTTCAAGTAAAATATCTCGTCCTTGCAGCTGAATATAATGCTTTACTTGCTACTGCACTGGAATGTGCAATATGACATAACATGATTACTTGCTGCAGGACTTGCCATGGAAATCATGAAGCGAGGTGCCATGATGACTGTACTAAGCTCGCTTTTAACAGCGTTAGCTTGGCCAGCAACATTACTTACTCTTACTGATTTTATCGATAGCAAATGGGCAATTGCTGTGGACAGGTTTTCCTAATCACTTGATTGTCAATAAGATAACAATGTCAAGAAGGAAAATAAGCTGTTTAAAAATTAATTTCCATTGAAACTGAATGTTGTGGTAGAAGGACAGATATTTACTTAGATCTGCTGGGTCTTAAAAAAATAAAAAAATAAAAAAATAAAAATAAATAAATAAATAAAGAAGAAGAAGAAGAAAAAAACTATTGCTATTTGGGAAATGATTGGATACTATTATAGTTGAAATCAGAACAGTTCTGTATTTCTTGAAATTAAGAAAAAAGGAAAAAAATAAAATGAAATCAATCTGCTAAGTTGGGAAATAAATCAACCTGCCAATTATCCTACAATCACACTCTAATTAATTACAGTTTTCTATCCCTGGTAACCTTTCTATTCTTGGTTTTCTATACCTCTGTAAGTTGAACAATAGATGTTGATCATGTTCAACTTACAGCTGAGGTCGTCAATGATTTGTCAAGACAATTCTTTGGCGAAGATATTCATAGTTTGTTCTATGGACTCATGTCATACAAATAATTTCATCGTCTACCTTCTCTTTGATGAAATGTATGTATACTTCTTCATGCATGGTTAATAATGTTGTATTTGGTTGAGAGAAATGTTGATAGCTACTTTGTTATCATAATAAAGTTCGATTGGAAATTCCACTTCGGCTTTCGGTTCTTTCAAGAGTTTCTTTATTCATAGTCCTTCACATATCCCTTGTACAACGGCTCTAAATTCAGTTTCGGTATTACTTCTTGCTACTACATTTTGTTTCTTGCTTTTCCAAGTTACCAAATTTTCCATGCAAAGGTGTAGTAGCCAGTAGCGGGCCTTTTATCTTCGGTGGATCCAGCCCAATCTGCATCCGTGAATATTTCTACTCCATTCTTTTTATTTTTTTGTAAAGTAATCATTTCCCAGATTTGCCTTTTAGATATCTGAGAATTTTGTATCGTTCCTCTAGGTGAGCCTCTTTGTGAGAGTGCATATGCTGACTTACCATGTTGATTGAGAAAGCGATGTCAGGTCAAAGTGTGTGAGGGATAATTTAACTTACTAACCAATCTTTGATATTTGCTTATTTCCACTGAATCTTTTGTCTTTTGTTATTTTTCCTCCCTCGGTGTGTATCATGCCAATTTCAGTCAAAAGATCAAGAATGTATATTAGTTGAGAGATACTAATACCTTTTTTGATCTTGCAACCTTCATCCCCAAGAAGTACTGCATTTATCCCAGGTTTTTTGCTTCAAATTTGATGGCTAAGCATTGATTTAATCTTTCCATCTCAGCTATGTTGTTCCAAGTTAGAATTATATCAACATATACAATTATGATTATATTTGTCCCATTTCTAGATTGTTGGAAGAACATAGTATGATCTAACTGTCTTTGCTAGTATCCTTGAGTTTTTAATACTTTTACTAATCTATTGAATCACGTTCTTCATGACTATTTGATACCATATAAAGACTTTTTGAGTTTACACATCCTGAAGATGTTTTCTAATTTTCCATTCAGGAATGTGTTCTTAACGTCCGACTGTTGAAGGGGCAGGTTTAAATTCACTGCTAAGGACTAGAGAACTCGAATTGTATTTAGTTTTGCCGCCGATGTGAATGTTTTCGTATGGTCAATGACTTAATGCTACATGTTTGTGTATATCATTTGGCAACTAAACGAGCTTCATAGCGTTCTATTGTTCCATCGGTCTTGTACTTCAGATTAAAGACCCATTTGCAGCCTACACGTCTTTTCTTTCAGTAGGTTTATCTCTTGTGAAGTTCAATTTTTCTTTAAAGCTCTCATTTCCTCCATTATTGTCTTTCTTCATTTACATGATTCAAAGGCCTCCTAAATATTTCTTGAAATTTCTGTTTTATCAAGGTTAGCTATAGAAGTACGAAATTCTCTAAATGGAGCATTATAAGATTAAAATTTTGAAATAGGATGGAGGGTACATGATCGAAATTGTTTTTCGAGAGCAATGGGTAGATCATCATCTAGAGATCTAGATTTATCGGAAGGGTTCCTATCAGGTCCTATCATCAGTTCCAACTCTTTTGGTGCCTCAAGTGTGAGAGTTTCCTTATTCTTTGAGTTTGACTTCCTAGAGTAAACTAGTATCTCCTTGCTTTGTTTTTCAACATCTTCCCTTGAATTTAAAGTTTCCTTCGTATATGACACATTAGAAGGTATGGTTACGGATTAAGTATTTGCTAGGTCAGACGAAGAAAAATCAAAGTCTAAGAACTTCTGATCCAATAATCGATCTTCATTCAGATTGTACACCCTAAAGAGAAGGTTTTTGGAAGGTGTTTTTCGAAGAAGGTTACATTTAGGCTAACAAAGACCTTTTATGTGGATGGGTATAGTATTTGTAGTCTTTTTAAGTAGGTGAGTACCTACTGAACACACATTTGATTGCACGTCGTTTAAGTTTGTTTCGATGGTAGAAATAAACGTGTACAAATGTAGTACTTCCAAACACTTTTAGGCCCCGTTTGATAGCCTTGGAATTCCAAGGAAAATGGAATTTAAATTCCATCTTTCCAATTTTGTGGTGTTTGATTTGCAAAATTTGGAATGGAATTGATTTTCTATCTTTTATGACCACATCAGCCAATTCCACCAAATGGTACGTTTTCACGTCATTTTTTTTTTTAAAATTTTGCAATTTAAACAAATTCTAAGAATTATTGTAATAAATTCTCTCTCTTAAGTGACAATTATCATGTAAAACAAAGCCAAATGAACACGAAAAGATAGATTAAATTTTTTTTCTTTGGCAATAAAAACAAATTCTATCCCTAATACCAGTAAATTTTATCCATTTAATTGATAATTTTCATGTAAAACAATGTCAAACGAACACCAAAAAAATTTTTATTTCAACATTTTTCACGTGGAAAATTATACTAATAAAATACGATAAATTGACAATTCTCAGGAAAATAATTTCCAAGCAATTCAATTCCCTTGAATTTGTTTTCTTTCCATCAAAATTCCATCTTTGCAATCAAACGGACCCTTAGGGGTAGATTTGAATTGAAACATCAAGAAGGAATGTATTTTTGGAATCTTTGTATAGGTAGTCAAAGGAGAGAGTACCACCAGGCATATGGTTGATGAGATAGAATGGCATCTCCCCAGAATATTTTTAGCATGTTTGTAGTAAACATTAAGGCACGAGCAACTTCGAGCAGGTGGGTTTTTTCGTTCAATAATCCCATTTTGTTGAGTGTTGATACATGAACTTTGGTGGACTATTTCATATTTTTCAGGTAGTCTTGCAAAATGGTATTGAAGTATTCTGTTCCATTGTCAGTGCGTAGGATTTGAAATTATGATTGAAATTAGGTTTGAATCAGAGTGAAAATTTAAAATACTGAGATAGACCTAAGATACTTAAGTTTGGTCATTGATGAATGTGACAAAGCATTTTGCTTGGGTACGACTAAGATTGCAGGGAGGTCCTGTAAATCATTGTGAATCATGATGAATGGTTTATAGAGCTTTATGTTTGAATTAGGAAAAGATGTACGTTGATGCTTTGCAAATTTACGACTTCATGATTGAAACTCAATCGATGTTTGATTCTAGAAAATGGAATTATACATTTAAAGTATGAAAAACCAGGATAAATGATTCTATAGTGCCATAACAAAATTTCTCTATCCCTAGAGACAAATGCAGAATTACTTATAAGTTGACCTTGTTAACTTACATTAGCTTCCTTGCAGTAGTACAGTCCTCACACTTTAGTACTGCTAATCGTCCTCCCCGATGAAAAGTCCTAAAAGACACAAGAAAATGGAGAGAAATTAACTAAACAATTGGAATTTTTGGTTTGTTGACTAATAGAATATAAGTTACACAACAATTTTGGGACGTAGATGACAAATTCTAGTGTTATGGACCCAGAAATCCAAATACTCCATTTTCCTACAATAGATGAGAGTGAGCCATCTACAATTTTCATCTTAATATTTTCAGCATAAGTTGAGTATGAAAAGAATAGGTGGTACGAATACGTCATGTGATCGGATGCATCGGAGTCAATAATTCAGGAGGTGTTACATCGTGAGGTGCTTAAGGCTTTCAGAAAGTTACCTTTGTGGGCTAACCAGGTGTTTGAAAGCTCAGAAACATTTGATAGAGTTGCTCTATTTGTTAGGAGTTGAATGCACTACTTGAAGTTGGATTTTTTGTCTCAGCTTAATACCTCAACTCCTAGTATTTTACCTTGGTTTCCATTTGGGGGTTTCCCGTGAATTTCCCAACATGTATTTTCTGCGTCCTAGCCTACGACAATGCTCACACCAAGGTCACCTGCGTTTTTATTTTTGGGTTGACCTGTTTGTAGTCCCTTTTGATGATAGGCCCTATACTCCATTTCCATTTGGAAGGTCCAATATTTTCTCTAATTTCTAGTCCATTTACTTTTAAAAAATCTATTTCGGGCCCAAAACTCATTGACTTTTAAAACTTTTAAAATTTGGAGGGCCATTACCTTTTACAATCAAGGCCAACATCTCTCTCGATGGTCCATAACTCTCCTTCAACATTACTTGCCATCGAGCCTCTTCCTGTCGCACCTCCACGAAATCGTCCCAAGTTAACGATAGTGGTCACCGACCTAAAATTCTACCTCTCTGACATCATCTATTCACGATTTAGCCCTGCAAGAAACTTATATACCCTTTTCATTCTCCTGCTTCTTTTTGTATAGTGCTATACTTCTTTTTGTAATAATCTATAACATATCTCGATCCCTTCTTTTTATGCCATAGTCGAGTTTTGATTTCAAAGATATGCGATGAAACTTCAGAATTAGAGTAGGTCTCCTTCAAGGCATCCTAGTCGCCTTTTGCAGTCGGAAGGAAAAGATAAGTCTTCCCTACGGACGGCTTCATGGAATTCACAAGCCGTCACCATGAAAATTTCGGACGTCTACTTTTGCCAAAGGTTAGCATCGATTGCCTTCTTCGACTCGCCGGTACGGTAGCCAGCTTCCCCTTATGGTTGATCACTAATTTTATAGATTGGACCCATTCTCCAAAGTTTCTTTCATTCAAATCCTCCACCATGAATTGGAAGGAGGAATTTTTGAGTCCATTTGAGCCGATTGAAGAGTTGGACTTTGCTTCGAAATGAGAAGTTAGAGGTCATTGATTGGAAGCGGGGGGTTCCGCCACTGGTTTTCTAGGTTAGAAATTACCTAGGCTCTGATACCATGTAATTGAAATCAGAATGATTGTTCTGTATTTCTTGATAATTACATCCTATTTATATTACACAAGATGAAGAAAAAAGGGGGAAAAATCAATCTGCCAAGTTAGGAAATAAATCAACCTACCGATTATCCTAAAATCACGATCTCTAATTTTCCATTCCCTGTAACCTTTCCATTCTCAGTTTTCTAGAACTATCAATTATCTTTTTTGATAAATTTTCCTTTAGGGGTGCAGGTAGGCAAAGCATTTTTTGAAAATGAACAAATTTTTCTTTCTTTTTGTTTTTTTTGGTGTGTGTGTGTGGGGCAACTGTATGATATGTAGCAAGGATGATGGCTTCTCTTTTGTATATTGTGATGTTGTCCATGTTTAGAGTGATCTTATTTGATTCCATTTTGTGTAGATCTGATAAGGCTGGAAAGCTGCTTGCCGAAGTATTGTTAAAGGGGTTGCAAGGGCATAGGTATATGCCAGTAGAAAAGAAGAAATTTTGATTATTCTTATTGAATTACATTTGAGTTAGATTTTACTGTTCCTCCAATTTTTATTTATGGTTGTTCATGAACTTTCCAGGCCTGTGACACTTGTAGGTTTCTCACTTGGTGCAAGAGTTATTTTTAGTTGTCTCCAGATTTTGGCTGAAAGTGAAAATGGTGGTAAGTAACACCTTCAAGCTGACCCCACTAATCTATGGCACAATTTATTGCTCCATCCTAAAATTTAAGATTGGAAAAAGCTAAGGCTACTAAGACTTGGAGAGCAAAAAGAACGGTGAAACATGTTCATCTCCTCTTTATATTTTAAACATGTCCCCTAATGCAGGGGCACAATTCTTTTTATGATGTGGCAGATGCATGCTCATTTATAATATGCCAAATTAAACAAGATTTTCTGTGGATTGGATAGCTAGAACCTGGCAACATGGACACACTTAAGAATCAGTAGGCAAGTTCTGTACCAGTAGTCTGTAGAGTTCCTCACACGCGCTACCATAAACATAGAATGGACGATGGCCCGATGTTTGTGACAGAATGAAATGCTAGAAATGATTGATATATTTCTGCCTTTTAATTACAATTTAGTATTTGACATGGGATTTTACCTTATTATATTATTTCTAGCTTTGTACTCGCTTAAAAATCTCGTAGTTCTGTCTCTCAATGTTGAAACTTCCAACCTTAGAATAAGCTAAACATTTGGGTTTTACTAGTCTTTGCTTCTTTCCTCCAAATGCTCTCTTGATCTTAGAAAAATACCAGATTAGCATTTTCTTGGAGCCTCATCTATTTCCCAGTCCTTGGCCATCAAATTAACAATAAACTACTGCCAGGTTTAAGAATTCAAACAAATGATTCTGGAAATTTTTATGGTGTATGAACTCTAACCACATTGCAAATTTTACTTTTCATATGTAAACCTGGGTTCTGTTATTCTGATGACTTCTGATTCACAATACCCCTTCCACCCCCACCTCCAGTTTAATGTGTCAGTAAATAAAATCACGACCTTTTTGACAACTTAGATTTTAGATAAGATGGTGATTTAGTATGGAATAAGATTTTAGAGAGGGGTGTCACAGAATTAAGATTCATGGCTTCCCACAGATAAGTAAATCAATAATTTCATGTGCTAAGCCTTTGAGAAAAATGAATGTTGCCTGGATGTCGTCATCCTCCTAACAACTTAAAACTTTTTGGGTGGGAACACCGCCGCTGAAGGAAAATCTCTTTTAAGTTCTATATACTATCATCTGATTCACACTGCCAATTTTTGTCAGCTGGACTTGTGGAAAGAGTTGTTCTACTTGGAGCACCCATTGCAATTAAAGATATGAATTGGGAAGCTACTCGAAAGGCATTGTTTCTTTACCTTCTGCACTAATAATCACAAATATTGATATAGTATCAAGAATAATCTGTTACTGTTAATGCATATGTTTAGCATTCTTCATTGTGCAGGTGGTGGCCGGGAGATTTGTGAATGCATATTCTACTAATGATTGGATACTTGGAATTGCATTTCGTGCCAAGTATGCAACTCTTAAATTTATTATTAAAATTTTTAGGATTGTGAAATAGTTGGGTAAATCACATCTTGCCTTTCGAATTGAAATACATTCCTTAAATGTTGTTAGAAGTATCACGTACAAAGGAACAAGTGAATGATTTTCCAAATTTGATGTTTCCATTTTCCTATGATAGTCTTCTTACACAAGGATTGGCGGGAATTCAACCAGTGGAAGTGCCTGGAATTGAAAATGTAAATATTATTAATAATGCTGGTTAACACAACACAGCATAGCCTATGTTAGGGATTTCGTTTTTGTCTTATTTGTGGCTCTCCATCGGCTTTGACAGGTTGACGTAACTAGCATAATTGAGGGTCACTCCTCGTATCTTTGGAGTACCCAAGAGATCCTAGAACAGCTCGAACTGGATACTTATTATCCTATTTTCAGTCACCCTGTTGTCAAAACATAGATTGTACTGACCTTCTGGCATGGAGTGGACTTGCATCAGAGGTTGCATCTTGGTCAGAAATGGAGGTCTGGATCTAATTATAAGTGTTACTGTTGAACCAAGGATATTTCATTAGTTATGGCTTAGTGCTTGTATCTAGATTTCAGTTTACCCTTGTTCTTTGGACAGGTATGAATCATAAGAATTGCACAAATGAAACAACAGCTAAATAGGTGGTAAAATAGAAGATCTTTACTATTTCATATTACTGAGGAGATCAATTGTGGCTGGAGAAGTACCAAATAGATGCAGGAGTTCCCATACTAGAAATTTAATAGATCCACCTTTTTCTTCTCAAATTTTTTCCCATCACATTTCCGTATGTTTGTATGTAAATTCCCGTACGTACTCTGTTTCCAGATATTATAAGTTATATGCATATAGTATATGTAATGTTACAAGCATTCTGCGTTCAATGTTCTAGTATAAGTAAATGTTTCTTGGCTCGGGCTTTTACCTTGGGCCTTACCGAGCTGTCTCGATTTTTTTGTTTCAGTTGTGAAATTCGAGATTTTTTATTATTATTTTTCTTTTGTGGAAATTACATATTCTAATGGATTAAAAATTCTCATTTCATAAATCAGATGCAATGTTTAGTATTTCATAAATCAGAATTTTTTTAATTAATTAATATATTTAAAAATTAATTAAGTAAAAAAGTTTCAAACCATAATTGTATAAATCTCAATTCCCTCTCTCTGCAAGAAAAGACGCCGTCAAAGGTCACTTCCACAAATTGACCATCGCTGGACAAGCGGATATCGGGAGATCACGGTTGAGCAGCATTGAGAACCGTAGCAGGTGGTGATCGTGGAAATCTTAGTGGCAGCAGCAACTCGAAGAAATCAAGTCGCGTCTTTGGGGAAGATGGTGGTATGTCGGTTGTAGTCGATGATTTGGTGGATATCAAGGTTGAATGTGGTGGTGGTGGTAGTGGTGTTGGAAATCGACTCATGACTGTGGGAAGATGGTGGTTCGATGGTTGTAGTCGGTGATTTGGTGTGGCATCGGTGAATGTGTGTTAATGGTTATGGGGTGGGTGGCGATGGGGGTGTTTCGCAGTGATGGTTTTGAGGTGGTGGTGTTTGCGGTGGTATTGTAGGGTGGGTAGAGGGTAGGGTGTGGTGGTGATGGGTTTTCTGATGTGGTTTTTTCTCCAATCTGAGTGCAGTGGTGATGGGTTACCTTGGTGCTAGGCGTGTTGTAGGTTTGTGATGATTTTTGTTGGCGGTGTAGGCGGAGGTGCTGCCTGGCGCGGTGGATCTGGCAATGGTGGTTTTGGTGGTGGTGGTTGGGTTGGTGGTTGTGGTCACAGATTATTTGGTTATTTGTGACCATTAAATTGGTTAATCTGTGATTAATAAATAATATGTGACTAATGAAAAAGATAAATTGTGCCCAATGAATAATGAACGATCAAAAAAATTAATAAGTTGTGACCGTCTAATAAGTTATGACTTATAATATTTGTGACCCGTGACTTACAAATTTTTTTATTCATAATCGAAAAATAATGAGACTTAAAAATTTTTTAATTTGTGATTGAAAAATAAGATGTGACCAATAATTTGATAAATTGTGACTAAAAATTAATCTGTGACTAATTAGTTTTTTTATTTGTGATCGACGAACAGACAGTGACTTACAAATTTTTTGAATTGTGATCGTAAAATAATTTGTAACATAAAATTTCTGATTTGTGATCAAAAAATAATAGGTGCTTAATTAAATTGTTAATTTGTGACCAAATTGTATAGATATGTGACTTAAATATATTTAATTAATAAAATAAATACAAAATTAATTTAATAATAAATTAATTTTAATAAAAATATGATTTTTGAAGTTTGAAACTTATTTTCTTAATTTTGAAATATGTTATACTTAATCTCTTGCTTATGAAGTTTTTTCATTTCTTTTAACAATATAAATTATGTGCACTTGGGCCTTATCGAGCTGGCTGGTTTTTTTTTTTCGTGAAATTTGAGAATTTTTTTTTAACAATATAAATTATGTGCAATTTATATTGATTGTCAATTAAATAAAAGTTATAACTTTCCTCATTTTTTGGGGCTGGGGATCGACTATAATTAACGTAGGAGGAATTGAAATAGTACATGAATAAAATATATTATGTACAAAATTTTTGAAACAAATAAATTTAAAAATTACATTTTTTTTTTAAAACAAATCAATTTAAAAACTTACAATAACTTATCATTTGATTTGCTATAAGTGTTCGACTATTACACTATCAACTTGTTCTTGAAGATGTAGTTTCGCATATTTTTAGTCCTTCAAACTTGTTAGAGCCTCTAATATGTCTTGTATTAGTTTTAATCGTTAGTCTGACCAAATTTTACTACCTAAATTAAATGTAGCCTTTGATTCTATCATAATATTAGAGGTGTTAGTAGATTATATGCAATTTTTTATACAATTGGATATTTGTTATGATTCGGCTTTATTACCCAAGTTGTTAACTTATGTACCCCGTCCATTAGATTCAATTCAAGTCATTCTTAAGGAAAATGTTAAGAGTTCGAATTCTGAAGACACGAGAAATTCATGAAGGGTAGGATGGGTTTAGGCTCTCCCATAGCGGACAATATATAAATTAGCGGCTACGACACAGAAATAGGGTCGTTATAAAAAAATGCACATTTTTATGACCTAAACTCTATGCGCAAGCTATTAGCATATGTACTGTCTGCTTTTAGTTGGCATCTGTTCACTTATCCCCTCATAGATTTTATCGCATCCTTGGGATTTTGAACCTTTGACATGTATCTTAAGAATGACTTAAATTGAATCTTGGTATCAATTGGACAAGTGCAGATTGGATATAGAGGCTGGATCATTACAATATTGTCTTTTATTACACTTCCACTATAATAGAAGAATACATATTATGAACGTCTACACACATATAGATAACTTTGAAGGAATTTCAATATTTGTACAACTGACATCTGTCGTTCTAGATATGGATGGACTAGAACTAAATGAGGGAGCACTTGTATTGATATTCAAAAAATTCCATATATCATTTGAATTGCTTGTAATCTTTCTTAAAGATGTACTCGGGAACTAGAACTGCTTTGATCTTCTTTTTCAGCATTATAGCTGTTCATTTCACATAATGGAGATTTTATATATACATGTGAGAATTCCACATTTATGTAATTTGAAATTCCCTTTATAATAGCTTTTGTGCCAATTAAATTAAGTCAACAATCTATAACTGAAGTTAAAAGAAATAAAGAAGGCATCTCTTCTTAATATTTGCAAAATTTAAAGGAAAAATTCTAACGATCTCTAATATTTCATTTTTCTACAGATCTTATCCTAACCTTCAATTTGTGCAAATGAAGATCCCAAACCTTTGAAAAAATAGCAAATGAGGTCAAGTAGACCAAGAAAAGTAAACTTTGGCCAAATTAAAAATGGTAAAATGGCAACAAAATCCACAGCACTGGCAGTAGTCTCAGTTGAGCGAGGAGACTTGACGGTAGAACCGATTGAGATGTACAATAGTCGGAGTTACTCTTGAATGTGGGCGAAGAAGCAGATTCTTTTATAGAAAGCTGTACTATCTTTGCAAAGCTTTGTCCTACATTGAGCCGTGTGGAGCCAACCGTTGCCCCCCAGTTGATACTTCCGACTCCGACGATCACCAGTGCACATCATCTTCGCCCTATACCTGCCTCATAATATTCTTGAATTTTAATCAAAATTTTGAGTTTGGTTACCTAATTTCTTAGAGCTAGGATGGGAAATCTGATTAGTGCCTATGTATGTATTGGAGGAGAAGATTGGCGATGATTTTTTATTTTGATTTGATTCGAGGTGTGGTTGGTTGGAGAAGACTATGATTGTTTAGAAGTTTTGGTTTTATTTATTTATTTTTCTTATTTTTTGGTTTATATATTTATTTAATGTGTTAATTCTAAAATTATCATTTTACTCCTTTTTATTTGATCAAAATTGCTCAAAGTTTATTTTTCTTGGTCATTAACGGTCAAATGGATGGTTTCCATCCACTTGGTCCTAGTTGCTAATTTTTTTAAAGGTTTTGACCACCTTTGCCACAAATTGAAGGTTAAGATAAAGTTTGCAAAAAAGTGAAAGTTATGGACCGTTGATGCAATTTTCCCAAATTTAAATTACATAGACAAGACTACTGCCACGCGTTTTATATAATGTGATTTGTACCCGCAAGTGTACTGTATCAAATCTAATAATATAGTAACGAAGTAAAAGTGTCGCGCACACAGTAATTGATATTCGAATCCTATTGAATACTATAATTATTTTAACTTTCTCTTTATTTAGAAAATCAAAATTTTTTAAACAATATCTTTATATTAAACTAACGGAATTAAGATGAAGAATGCAAATGATGGAAGCAAATTGTGAAGAGTTTTATTTTATTTTATTTTTTAAATCAAATTATGAAAGTCTAGGGAAAGATTTCACCATACTCTCAACAATGCTTTTAAACCTCTATCATTATTTCTATGAATTTTTCCAAAATTGATAAGCAAGAAACCTAAATTAATCATATTCTCTTTCGAGTGCCGAATAAAACCTATTTCTATAATTTAATTTCAATATCTCTATTCCATATTGAAAATATAAAAGTCATCCGCACATGGTTCTCAAGTGAAATAAACTTCAAAGATTTTGTACCTTCTTTCGAAGCCTACAAAGTCTAGATTATGTTGTTCTTAGATTACACCAAAATTTTCCTTTCTCGAGTGCTAAAATTTAAAGTATCAAATCATTCCATTATTGATCAGGTAATTGAAAGCATTATGCGAGAAGCAACATAAATAAATTGACAGAAAAATTAAAGAAATATTATATTCACATCAAAACATGTCTTAAATATGTTACATCAAACCCTAGATTTAAAGTTTTAGTACATAATTGAGATTAGTGACATGATAAATTGAAAACAAAGAACATGGAGAAGAAAAAGAATAAGAAAAACTCGTTTTGCCGCTTGATTTCTCCTCCCAAAGGTTGTCGATTCTCTCTCAATCAATTGGTGTTCTTCTTTGCCTCCTTGTGCCGTCTCCCCCTCATTTAGGTCTTTTTAGTTTGTATTTATAGTCCCCTAATGTGCCAAGACGAATTGGAGTGAAGCTGGGTCGAAACAAAATAAAAAAAATCAATTTTTTCTCCTCTGCATGGATAGCGTTGCGGTGCCCAATCATAGCGCCACAGCGCGCGCAATGAAGTAGATGCTAGCGCTGCAGCATCAACCATTCTATTTCCTTTGATGTTACTAGCGCCACCTAGCTCTTTGCTATTCTTTTTATTTTTCTTGGGTGCCTAGGTGCCCAACGTGGCATCGTGGCGCCCATCTTACTGCCTTATCTTTTGTTGTCCATTTCCTAGCCTCTTTTCCACCGCATTATTCTCTCGTTTCGCTTCCACTTCATAACCAATTCCATGGTCATCTCTTTGGCTTCACTTCAAGAACCGAATAACGTGCACATCAAAAAGTTCAAAAGTGCTCAAAAACAAACCGAACATCATGATTTAGAGGTATTAGATCGATGAGTGATTTACACTTATCAAACACCCCCCAAACTTAATACTTTGCTTGTCCTCGAACAAATATAAAATAACACCTATAGATATAGTTAATCTATACCCAAAAAATAGGAACTAAAGTGACAATTTAGCTGGATAACCTGTTTTTACGGGTCAGTATTGAATACATGATATCAAGTTCAAGAATTATTTCAAAATTATAACACAAAAGTCAAATACCCTTCCAATGCAAAATAAATGTGTGTGTCTGTGAGGAATCAAATACAACATTGTACTAGCATAAGTTGGTTCAATTTTCGACCTTAAAAGTCAATTATTTACTTACTCAGCTTGTCGGATTCACACACCCCAAAGCAGTGGTGGATGTAGCCATTGGCCAGCTAGGGCGGCCGCCCTAGCTGGCTTCACCGGAACCGCCACCGTCGGGAGTCAGTTTTTTTTTTTAGATTGGTCTGTCGTTCAGTCCTATTAGCTTGGGTGTTGGGCCTCTAATTTTTTTTTAAATCAGGCCCAATTAAAGAAGCCCAAATGAGCTTCTCCATACCATATACCTAGCAACCCGAAAACAGAGTCCTAGATTATTCCCCAAAACGCCACCACCCAATAATATACCTCTACCTGTCTACCGCCATTACCGCAGCAGCAAGCAGACGCTGCAGACGGCATCGCCAGGTCCCCCACCGGAGAGTCGAGAGGAGCAGGCGAGCAACACTCCAGTCCAGCAGGCAGCCCGCACTCCGCAACAACCTTTCATTTTTGTCTCGTGTCAAACTATCGATTTTGAGGTTAAGCAATTAGCAAACCCTTTGTGAATTGTGAGTTCCTATTCTTCCCCAATTCCTTCTCGGCACAGTATTTGGTCCTGAATTTAATGTCTAACTTGATATTAATTTGTAAATTTGAGGATATGGGTTTTGAATCGGATGTCTGGATCGGAGAACAATTCTCAATTTCTCATCTTAAAGTTGAATCACCGATTCATTAGTCATTACTTCAAAAATCAGGAATTAGACTATTAGAGCATAAACACCATTTGTTAGAGGCTATTACATTTACGGGATGGACTGATGGAGCCTGGAGGCTGGAGGGATCTGCAAATAAGTTGTAATTTAGGATAATTCGCTGGTGATTTCTGTGCTTTATTTCGAAAGGATTCCTACTTTCATGTGGGGATTAATTAATTTCCATTTAAATAACAACTCCTAAAATTATGGGGCTTTATTTCAAATTACATATATGTGATTTAGGCATTTAGTTTAGAATGTTATTGGATTCGCCACTGCTGCTGTTGCCCATCGTAGTCCTATCATGTTAAGGGCATTTTGATCACTTTCAAGTGTTAAAATTCATTTAAGAAGGCATCAAAACTGAGTGTATTTCCAACATTGACAAAAAGGACAATCAGCCTAATTTCTGAAATCGAATTTGGACTATTTCACTGAATTTTAGTATATGGTATTAAGATCGGCGAAAAATTGGTAGTCTTTCATTTGTGTCGTATCTAATAAATAATAATTTTGTTGCTTCTAATACTTAAGCATTTATTTGTTTTTGACTTGTTTGAGTATTCAAATTGACATAAATAGCCAACCTACCAAGTACCAACTACAATGTAGCAACTTTGTTGCTTTGACTAATTTTTTAGTGTTTGATTCTTCTAATACATTGTTATCTAACTCTTGGGGATTTTTTTGTTGAATTGTTGATTTTTTAATCAATTGTAATTGAAAATTAAATTGGGGCATTTTGCAGATTATGGAACAATTTTTTCAATCGAAACGAAACTCTATACCTAGTTCTAGTTGTGCTTCTAGTCCCGTCACTGCTTCTAGCCGAGCACTCGAGTTGTTAAACAACACAAAGAAGTCTTAGGATCAATTCGACGTGGATGATCTTGTATCTGATCCAGGAAAATGCACTCCTATTGAGTCATATGATCCTAATATCAGAGATGATGTTAAGATGGCGTATTTGCAAAAAGGTTCTTGTCAATCACATGGACATGACTTTCCAAGAAGACGGATAGGAAATGCTAATAGGTGTTTTCGTAAAGAATAGTTTTCTGAATTTTATTAGTTGGAGTACAGTATAGAAAATGATGCGGCTTATTGTTTGCATTGCTACTTGTTCAAACCTGATAGAGGGGGTCAAGGGGGTGGACATATATTCACTAATACCGGCTTTAGGGATTGGAAGCACAAAAGTACATTGAAAGATCATGTCGGGCTCGTTGATAGTGCTCATAATCAAGCTTTTGCAAAGTGTACCAATTTGATGAATCAAAAGCAAAGTATCTCCCATGTTATTTCTAGCCAAAGTAGTAGTCAACAAAAAAATTATAGGACAAGGTTGACTGCGGTGCTAGACTGTACTAGATTCCTCTTGATGCAAGGATTGCCATCTCGTGGTCATGATGAATCGAAAGAGTCTCTTAATAAAGAAAATCTAATTGAGCTACTAAATTGGTATGCAACTCATCGTAAGAAAATTAATGAAGTACTATTTAGTAATGCTCCTGGAAATGACCAAATGACTTTACCAAGCATCCATAAGGATTTGGTTAATTGTTGTGCTGTAGAGATGACAAGGTCTATGATCAATGAGATGGGTGATTCTTTGTTTTCAATTTTGATTGACGAGTCTCGTGATAATTCTATAAAAGAACAAATGGCAGTTGTTTTGAGGTTTGTTGACAAAAGTGGGCAAGTGAAGGAGCGTTTGTTGGGCAATTGCCACATCGCTGATACTTGTGCCTAATCACTCAAGGATGTCATTGATGCAATGTTTTTTACACATGGGTTGAGCATATCTAGTCTGAGAGGTCAAAGTTATGATGGAGCAAGCAATATGTCAAGTGAGTTCAATGGCTTAAAATCTTTAATTTTAAGAGAGAACCCATGTGCTATGCATGTTCATTGCTTTGCTCACCAGCTTCAGTTGGCAGTTGTTTCTGTGGCACATAGGAATGTTATGCTTAGTGATTTATTTAAAATGCTTGCTATTATTGTGAATTTGGTTGGCGCATCATGTAAACGTGTAGATGCTCTTCGAACAAGTTATCATTCTGAAATTTTGGAGAGGCTTAATATTGAGGAACTTTCTGGTGGAACTGGTCAGTTTCAAGAAATGAGTATGGCACGCCTAGGTGATACTAGAAGGGGCTCACATCTAAAGACAGTTACTCACTTTATTAGTATGTTTAATGCAATCATAGATGTTCTTGAGAATATATCATAAGACGGCATAAGTTTCGAGCAAAAATCAATGGCCTTAAGATAGATGGACACTATGCAAGATTTTCAATTTGTGTTCAGTCTCCATTTTATGTTTGAAATTCTTACAATTACAGACGACCTTTCACAAGCCTTACAGAAAAAGGATCAGGATATTCAGAATGCTATGAGATTATTGAAGTTGTGTAAGTACGCATTGCAGAACATGAGAGATAATGGTTGGGATACTTTGTTGAGTAAGGAAATTGAGTTTTGTGTTGATAAACATATTTCAGTGCCAAATATGGATGATATTGTAGTATTGCAAGGTCGACCTAGGCGTGCAAGTCAGTAGGTGACTTATTATCATCGCTTTTATGTTGATTTGTATTGTTATGTGATAGATTGAATCTTGCAAGAGTTGAATGATCGTTTTTCAGAAACAACCAACTACTGAGCTTTTTACTTGCATTTCGTGTTTAAGTCCAAGAGATTCATTTGCAGCTTTCGATGTATGTAAATTGGTAAGACTTGCTCAGTTATATCCTATGGATTTCAATAGTGAATAGTTTTTATTGCTTAGACCTCAACTTAACACGTTTCTTATGCTCTTGAGAATGGATGAAGCTTTCTTCAATCTCAAAAGCATATCTTGTGTAATTTAGAAGTTGGTTGAAACTGGAGGTTCTTGTTGTTTTCTATTGGTTTATAGGCTGATCACATTGATTTTGATATTACCTGTGGCAATTGCAAGTGTTGAAAGGATATTCTCTGCTATTAATCTAATCAAGAATGATCTGCGCAACAAAATGGGAGATGAATTGTTGAATGACAATTTGGTAGTTTACATGGAGAAATATCTTTTTATGAAACTTGAGAATGAGATAATATTGCAACATTTTCAAAATATGCGACCTCGTAGAATTCAATTATCTAAGCTTACAATTACAGAGTAAGGTTGTATTGTATATTTTTTTAAGCATTTTGGGTTGTATTGAACTATATTTTCATATGTATATAATTTCTAGATTTTAGTACATTTACATATATATTGAATAATTTTTAATATTATTTAATCTAATTTTAATAAACGATCGGCTGCCGACCTGATCGGGCTTTTACAATCGTTGATCGTCGATGGTCAATGGTCAAAGTCAACCTCCGCCCTTGCTGAACGTTGATGCTGGATTCACCACTGCCCCCGAGCATGTTTTCTTTTCACTTCCCAAGGTGTATTCCAAAGTTGATTTTCAATACTAAGTTCTTACACCACTCAAGTTTGGTTGGATTTTACTACTTGCTGGTCAACAAATCAATAGATAAAGAGTCTCCTTATTTTTAACTACTTCAACCTCCAAAAATCAACCAAGTTGCTAACCCCTTGTCAAAAGCTTAATCTTCTAAAACAAGTGTTTGGGGCTTAATCAAGAGATGCGGGGCGTTTTTTAGCATCTATTCTTTCAAATACGTATATCTTTTTATAAATCTTATGAGTAGACTTATCTCCCTTAAACTTTCTAAATGACGCCGATAGCGACGTATAGGCCAATGGATCTCAAATCAGATGACTTTAGGGCACCAAGTTTTAAACTCTTGCAGGCTTATTCACTCAAGTCATAAAGGCTACGGAGAGACTTTATATAATGAGATTATTATTACTGTCCTTATTGGGATCTTTGCAATGATTGGTGCAATGCCTCTCATTAAACACTCATTCTTGAAAATCGACCTTAACTTAAGGTTTTCACCCAATTCTCATCTTATTTGTTTCAGACAATCCACGCAAAATTCAGCACACACAGAATCCACATCTATGTCTATGTCTCCTTACAACAGTTCAACCACCCAAATATCCTAAATTTGGTTTAAGAATATAACAAGTTCAGTGGTTGTATGGGTTCAACTTTTGGGGTCACTAATTCAACTTATTCATTTATGAATCAACCTATCTAGTCCAACGTTGTACTTAATTCACGTGCAGTTAGGTCATCATGCTTTGCAAGGATAGGTAAGACTTCACTCAAACACATAACTCATTCATAATTCACAACTGATTCGTTTATCCAAATATATGCATCATTACTAGCAATATTATCCAACCCACACAAACATGCAAATTATGAAAATAACACAAAGCCAATATAAAATACACAAGAACATGTAAATTATTAGATAACAACAATGTTAAAGTAACGCCCCCAAACTTAAATAACACATTGTCCTCAATGTGAAAGGAAAGAAGGGAGAGGATTACCTCAATGAGGACAGTAGCTGTCCTCATCGCCGTTCGATGGAGCTAGAGGATGGTAGTCTTGGTGGCAGAGAAAATGTGAGTTTTGGATGGACGGAGGCCATCACTGCCATGCAAGCACTAAAACTAATCATAGATGGATGTATGTAATTGCTCCAGTCGTGCATGCATCTCGTCTTGCTCGCGGGTCATGTGCAAGTCCATTGTCTCTAAACGCTGAAGTATGTCCCCTGTAATGTTACCTGGGTGAGTAGGTGGTAGAGGAGGTGGTTCTGGGTGAGAGGAGTGAGATGAACTTAACCTATTGTGAGGCATTGAAAGCTTATCTCGAAGGTCCTGTGTGAGAGGCGCCTTGGACACAACACTTCATCAGATTCGTGTGTGGAAACGTCCCTGTATACAAAGATCATGAATTAAGGATGGATGTCCCAAATTGCCTGTGGCTGACCCTGCAAGGATGCGTAAAATGCTATTCTAGATGACTTTCCCAACATCAATAGATAGGCCCCGCTGAATGGCATAGTTTAAAAAAGCTCCTTCCTTCGTTACCTCGCTAATGTTGCTACTAGGAACTAGTTTGGTAGATATAAAGTGATACCAAACCTTGCAATTGATTGTCAAATGAGAAGCGGAAAAGTTTGTCACACCATTAGTGGATTGTTTCTATTCGGTGCCTTAGTGAATGAGTGTGCGAAAAAAATATCGAGGTTAATTCGCTCTTCACGGAGTCTAGAGTAGTCATCATTAGGAATATCTTGCGTACTATAGAATCTGTTGATGGATACACTGTCAAACTTGATCCAGAAACGCCGTACAAAAACTTTGAAACTTACATGTTCCTTAGCATTGGCATAAAATTCTTTTACTAAAAAAATTGAGGCAGCGCCTAGTTGCAAACCAAATTGTTCCCACTCTAAACTTTGAATTTTCTTGGGCAATAATTTGTTAAATTCCCTCTCCGAAATGCAGTTCCGGTATATGGCCATATGTCTATAGCGCTGCTCCATGGCGGAACTAACAAACCGCCTCTGATCAAATGCATTGGAAGTTGAAGATTCTATGACTTTAGATTTCTTCTTAGGCGGATGTTTACTTAACCCAATTCAAGCTCACGATAATATCAAGGATTCCCAAAATCCAACTACCAAATTCAACAGAAAATATGCACTATGGCAAGTGGCATTAACAATCAACACCCAAACCAAAACCAAACCTACAAAATAGTGCCCAAAAACTCACCTAGGCAATATGTTAAACACCTTGTAGACAATAATCCCAATTGCACAACAAGCAAGTTTCTAAACCCCAATTCACACCCAATCATGAAAGATTTGCACAAACCAAACACCATCCCATGTACCAAAAATCACCACCAATTCAAAAGGCTTCTATAGTAGATGAGTACATGCTAAGCATAAAGTGCTTACCTTAGGTAATGGGATTCTCCAACATACAAGCAAATAATTGGGAACATGTGAAAATGGGGCTTGGGTGTTAATGGATAAGGGTAAATTGTTGTGCTGGGGAGAAAGAAGAAGAGGGAAAAATTGGGGAGGGAGAGGCATAGGGAGAAGTGTAATGGGTGCAGGGCTGAGAATAAGAAAAAAAGAAGTATTTTTTTTTTTGAAAAAGATACGGGCGCCACAGCGCCCAGGTTACTATAAAAAATGAGTTTTTTAATTAATTACCTGCAATCCCCACTGTGGTCCTTTCCCATGAACACTCTAAGTTCGATGCGCCTATACTTGAAAATGTACCTACAAAACAAAATATACACAATGTTAATAAATGCATGTAAAATATGAAAAACCTCGAGAAAAAATGAATTAAGGGATCGAACTAGGGTTGCCTCCCAAGAAGCGCTTCTTTAACATCTTTAGCTGGACATAGATGTGGGCTTATGTTGATTTTGTAAGGGCAATCTCTTCTACATCTCGATCTTCCTCTCCATAATAATGCTTAAGGTAGTGTCCATTTGTTTGAAAGAGTGATCTATCTTTACTTACAAGCTTCATTGAACCATAGGGAACTACTCTACGAACCACACAAGATCCTAACCGCCATGATTTAAACTTACTTAGAAAAAGCTTTAAACGAGAATTCAACAGAAGAACTCGTTCTTTTGGCTAGAATTCCCTTGTGAGGATCCTCTTATCATGCCATAACTTTGTGCGCTCCTTATATATTCTAGCATTCTCATATGCATTGTTTTGAAATTCATCAAGTTCGTTGAGTTGCAATAAGCGTTGTGGCCTTGCTAATTTCATGTCCAGTTCAGCTTTTTCACAACCCAATAGGCTTGATGCTCCAATTCAACTGGTAGGTGACATGCTTTTCCTAATACCAATCGATAAGGTGACATCCCAATTGGTGTTTTGAATGCCGTTCGGTATGCCCATAAAGCATCATCTAGTTTATGAGTCCAATCTTTGTGGTTTGTGTTTACTGTCTTTTCCAATATTTGCTTTATTTTTCTATTGGAGACCTCTGCTTGCCCATTGGATTGGGGATGGTAGCCAAGTGCCAATTTATGCCTGATACCATATTTAGCCAAGAGGGAATTGGAAAGTTTGTTGCAGAAGTGTGTACCTTTATCACTTACAATTGCTCTAGGTATGCCAAATCTAGTGAGGATATTCTTCTGTAAAAATTTCAACACTACCTTTGCATTGTTTGTTGGCGTGGCAATGGCTTCAACCCACTTTGAGACATAATCCACCGCAAGGTGAATATACAAGTGACCATAAGATGGTGGGAAGGGTCCCATGAAGTCAAACAACTCCACTTCAAGCACGTTAATTAATCGTAGCTCATGAAGCTTTGAAGTATTTCGATGTATTGACAACGGTCACATGTCTTCACAAAAGCATAGCAATCCTTGAAAAGCGTTGGCCAATAAAATCAACATTGTAGTACCTTAGCAGCTATACGTGTAGGACCAAAATGACCTTCATAAGGTGATGAATGACAATGCTCCATTATTGATCGTGTTTCCTCCAGAGGCACACACCTCCTTACTATCACGTCAGCGCATCTCTTGAAGAGTAGAGGATCATCCCACAAATATGATTTGACATTGTATAGGAATTTTTTCTTCTGTTGAGATGTTAACTCAGGTGGCATTTTTCCACAAGCCAAAAAGATGACAAAATCAGCATACCAAGGAATTCTAGATGAAACTGCTAAGAAAAGCTCGTCCGAAAAAATTTCTTGAATATGACTATCATCAATCGCTCCCCCATTCTCTAAACACGAAAGATGATCAGCCACAACATTCTCACTGCCATTTTTATCTCGAATTTCCACATCAAATTTCTGTAACAACAATATCTATCAAATTAAGCACAGCTTGGTATCTTTCTTTTCGAATAGTATCTGAATGCCGCATGATCTATGTAAATGACTACTTTGGTGCCAATGAGATAGGATCTGAATTTGTCACATGCAAAGACTACTGCCAACATCTCATTTTTTGTTTTGGTATAATTTAATTGAGCCCCATTCAGGGTTTTGCTGGCATAATGAATTACCCGGAATATCTTTTCACGCCTTTGTCCCCCCAACCGCGTAATCATTGGTATCACAAATGACTTCAAATGGCTGACCCCAATCCGGTGCTACCATCACTAGAGCTGTAACCAACTTCTCTTTTATCACTTCAAAAGCCCATAGACAGTCATCATCAAACACAAATGTGGTATCCTTCTCCAAAAGATTGCATAGAGGTTTAGCAATCTTTGAGAAGTCTTTGATAAATCTCCTGTAAAAGCTAGCGTGTCCCAAGAATCTCCCAATGCCCTTGACATTGGTGGATGGTGGTAGCTTTGCTACTGTATCAATTTTTGCCTTATCCACTTCAAATCCTCTCACTGAGACGTGATGACCTAGCACAATTCCTTCTTGTACAATGAAATGACATTTCTCCCAATTAAGGACTAAGTTTTTCTCTTTACAGCGTTTCAAGACTAAGGAGAGATTGTAAAGGCAGTTATCAAAAGAAATGCTGAACACAGAAAAATCATCCATAAATACCTCCATGATGTCCTCTACCATGTCCACAAAGATTGCCATCATGCATTTCTAAAAATGGTCGGTGCATTACATAACCCAAATGGCATATGTTTGTAGGCAAAAGTTCCATAACAAGTGAATGTCGTCTTCTATTAATCCTCTGGTGCTATTGTAATTTGATTGTAGCTAGAGTACCCATCAAGAGAACAGTAGTGGGAATCGCCGGCCAATCTGTCTAACATTTGATCGATGAACGGAAATGGGAAGTGATTTTTTCTAGTTGCCTTGTTCAACTTTCTGTAGCCAATGCAAATCCTCCAACCAGTCACTGTTCTTGTTGGGATTAGCCCATTGTCATTTTTGACCATTGTCATCCCACCTTTCTTTAGAACTACCTATACTGGACTATCCCATTTATCGTCTGAGATAGCAAAGATGATCCTGCCTTTAATAACTTCAATATTTCTACTTTCACCACTTTTTTCATAGTTGGGTTCAATCTCCTTTGATGCTTAATGGACGGTTTGTAGGAGTCTTCCATAAGGATTTTATGCATGCACACTATCGAACTTGTCTCCTAGATATCGGCTATGGACCAACCCAACGCAGCCTTATGTTCTTTCAACACCTTCAACAATCGGTCCTTTTCATCCTTGGTGAGTGAGGAAGAAACAATCATTGACAATGTAAAATTTTCCTTTAAGAATGCATAACAAAGGTGATATGGAAGTTGCTTTAGTTCGAATTTACTGCTCTCATTACCCTTACTGTCATCTGATTCCACTGATTGCTAAATTTTTTCACTTTGTGTTGGGCTATCTTCAATTGGCGATAATTCAAGGGCTAGTATGCGATCAACTAAGTCCTTGCTTTCCATGTACCTTCCAGAAGTGTTAATGTCTTCCTTGGTTGCACTAAACATCATACAATGCTCTAGAGGATCTTCAACGAACACTTTTTCTTCCTTAACAGCAGAATCGATGAAGTCTATTCTATGGCAAGTATTGGTATCATTTAGGTACTTTATGGTAGATGTTGAACCTTACTTATTCTTCATTCATCTTCAATGTCAGCTGTCTTCCTTGTAATCAATTAAAGCTCTTCCTATTGCTAAAAATGACCTACCAAAAATCAATGGAATCTTCTGATCTTCTTCCATATCCAAAACCATGAAGTCGGCTGAGAAGATAAACTCATCAACTTTCACCAACACATCTTCAATAATCCCTCATGGATATGTGAGGAATTGATCACCTAACTGCAAGGTTACTGTTGTTGGCTTGACTTCTCTGAGACCCAGCTTTTTGAATACTGACAAAGGCATCAAATTGATGCTCACTCCAAAATCACACAGGGCTTTATCAAAAGAGGAGCTTCTAATAGTGTAGAGAATAGTGAAGCTGCCGAGATCTTTTCTTTTCTGGGAAAGTTTCTTCCGGAGAATAGTGCTACATTTCTCTGTCAACTCCATTGTTTCATACTCTTCCAATTTCCTCTTCCTTGACATTACCTCCTTCATGAATTTAGCGTAATTCGACATCTGCAAAAGGAATATTAATGTGAATTTTCTTGAAAATTTTCAAAAATTTAGCAAATTGTGCATCAAATTTCTTCTTTTGAAAACGTTGGGAAAAGGAAATGCTGGTTTGAGAACTGGTGGGTTATCAGGGAATGATAAAGAATGATGTTTGTAAGCTTTTGGTGTCTCTTCGGCTTGATTTTCTTGCTCTGCTACTATCTGGTCTTCTTCATTTTCGGGAGAATGAATAGATTCTTCTATGGGCATGCTCTTTTCGATTTGCTTGCTCTTCCTTAATCTATATAACTTGGAAACTTTCCTTGCTGTTGAGACTTTATTGATGTAGCCAACTGACCAATCTAAACATCAAGATTCTTCATTGTCGTCCCCATGTTGGTTACATGTGTTTCAATGTTGTCCAAATGTGACTCATCATTGTTGAATCGCGATCTTATCTCAGTTATAAAGGTCCTAAGGATGGTTTCTATTCAAAATTTTGTGTGCTGAACCCCGGCAGAGGTTGAAGTATGTTTTTGTTATTGCCACATGAAAGATTCTCATGATTTCTCAGCCCAGAATGATAATGATTAGAAGAGTAATTTCCCCTCTGATTTTAGTTCCTATTGTTGACATACTGAGCTTGTTCATTTGCTAACTCTGTCTCTTGGTGTGATGAAGAAGAAGCCAAAACTGATTCTGCCTACTGCTAATTTCCTTGACTGGTAAGCGTGGCTATCTGATGGGTGAGTGATGAAACCTGAGCTGCTAGTGCTGTGATAGGATCCACTTCAAGTAATTTCGCTACTCTCTTTACACTTGATTCTCGTTTGGCTATTGATAACTGTTTGTATCTATGTCATCCAACAAGGAATATGCAGCCTCTGCTGTTTTAGCCATTAAAGTGCCTCCTGCAACTGCATCTACTATCGTTCTTGTCTGCCCATTTAGCCCGTTGTAGAAGATCTCAATCTACATCCAACTTTGCAACCCATGTTGAGGACATCTTCTAAGCATGTCTTTAAATCTTTCACAAGCTTCATAAAATGGTTCGAAGTCAAATTGTTTGAACTGACAAATCTCACTTTAAAGTTGAGTTGATTTGGAAGGCGAAAAATACTTGGTGAGGAATTTCTGAGCTAAGTCATCCTAAGTTATAATTGTACCATAGGGTAGCGATTGAAACCAAGCCTCGGCCTTGTCGCTCAAGGAGAAAGAGAAAAGGCAAAGTCTAATTGTCACATCAGTGACTCCATTCATTTTTACTGTGTCGCAAATTTCCAGAAAAGAACCCAAATAAGCATTTGGTCTTCTAGTGGAGCTCCCTCAAACTGATTTTACTGTACCATATGTATTAGTAGTTTAGTTTAAAGTTGTTGGCAGCAATAGTTGGGCGTGTGATGCAGAATAGTTGTCATTGACTATGGGTCTGACATAGTCCCGAATAGCCCGTTGCTGATTATTTTGGTTAGCTATTGTAGCATCCTATTCTGCCATTGCCTCACGTTCTTCTCTTTGTATACATCTTAGAAGGTGAAATGTGCGCTCTGGTTTAGGATCAACAGGTAATAGTTCGAGATTTCTCACTCTTTGCATAAACAGTTGAAAATAAAAAACAAGGGAACTATTAAAGACATTAATAAAATAAAATAAAAATCCAAAAAATCTAGATTAAAGTAAAAGTTAAATGGTAATAATATCAATTGAATTCAGATAAATCAATTCGCGACAACTGTACCAAAAACTTGCCACACATTTTATATAATGTGATTTGTACCCGCAAATGTACGGTGTCAAGTTTTGTGATATAGCAATGAAGTAAAAGTGTTGAACCCATAGGAATTGACATTCGAATCCCATTAAGTACTATAATTATTTTATATTTCTCTTTATTAAGAAAATCAATTTTTTTTGAAACAATATCTTTATACTAAACTAACGCAATTAAGATGAAGAATGCAAATGACTGAGGCAAACTGTGAAGGTATTATCATCATTATTTTTTTTTTTTATCAAATTATGAAAGCCTAGGAAATGATTTCACCATACTCTCAACAATGCTTATAAACCTCTATCATTATTTCTATGAATTTTTCCAAAATTTATAGGCAAGAATCCTAAATTAATCATATTCCCTCTCTCAAGTGCCGAATAAAACCTATTTCTATAATTCAATTTCAATATCTCTATTCCAAATTGAAAATATAAAAATCATCTGCACATGGTTCTTAAGTGAAAAAAGCCTCAAAGATTTCGTACATTCTCTCTAAGCTTATAAAATCTAGGTTATGTTGTTCTTAGAACACATCCAAATTTTCCTCTCTCGAGTACCAAAATTTAAAGCATTAAATCATTCAATTATTGATCGGGTAATTGAAAGCATTACGTGAGAAGCATCATAAATAAATTGACGGGAAAAAAAATCAAAGAAATATTATATTCGCATCAAAACATGTCTCAAGTAGGTTACATCAAACCCTAGATTTAAAGTTTTAGTACATAATTGAGATGAGTGACACGATAAAATTGGAAAAAGAAAAAGAACATGGAGAAGAAAAAAAAACTCATTTTGCCGCTTGATTTTTCCTCTCGAAGGTCGTCGATTCTCTCTCAATCAATTGGTGTTCTTGTTTGCCTCCTTGTGTCATCTCCCTCTTAATTAGGTGATTTTAGTATGTGTTTATAGCCCCCTAATGTGCTAAGACGAATTGGAGTTGGGCCGAGTTGAGACAAAATAAAAAAATCGATTTTCTCCTCTTCGTGGGCAGCGCTGCGATGCCCAATCACGGTGCCGCAGCATCACGATGAAGTGGATGCTGGCGCCGCAGTGCCCAAGGCTGGCTCTGCAGCACCAACTATTCTGCCTGCTTTCTCTTTTATTGTCTATTTCCTAGCTTTTTTTCCATCTTGTTCTTCTCTCGTTTCGCTTCCACTTCATGCTCACTTCCATGGTCATCTCTTTGGCTTCACTCTAAGAACCAAATAACGCCGTTTTTCACCAAATTTGTTTAACCAACACGAACTCTCACATCAAAACATTCAAAAGTTCTCAAAAACAAACCAAACATCATGATTTCAAAGGTATTAGGTCGATGAGTGATTTACACTTATCAACTACATCAACAAAATATTGGCAAATTCCTATGTTTATGAAATATTTGTTGTAAAATAAGTGAAGATGTTGGATAATAAACATTGCTACAGGCATTTATGGTATTTAAAAAAGGTAAGAATCTCTTCATATAAAATGCAATAGACCATTCCTAATTTTTCAAATTATGTTCGGGGTCCATAAGTATGCCTACCATTATAATATAGTAAAATAATCTTATCTTGTTTTTCACACAACCATAACATAAGATACGTACAGTTTAATCTGTGAGTTACATCAATTACAAATGATCTCTCTTCTAAACCATGCTCGACACACGAACTGTTAAATGCTTGTTTTCTAGATGGTGACACAGTAATAAAATTTATTGCTTGTGTATTTTTGTCTAATTTTTCACTTATATGCTCTAATACATCTTTTACAATTAAATTGATAATGTGAAGTACTTAGCTCTGATGAAAATATAAATTTCCAAATGAAGGGTTAAGATCATTAATAAATTTTTCAATAACAACTTCGTTCACATTAGCATTTTTAAAAGTAAAACTTCAAATCAGTTCTTGTATATCAAATTCTTGTACAATCTCTTTTGAAACCATAAATATGTTACTGGCATCATAAAGATATTCTACTAATCTAAATGCTATAATCATTTTATGCAGAATCCAAAGGTAATCAATGTAATGAGCTGTAGCTTCAATTTAACATTTTTTTTGTTACCACCAGTTCGTAAATCAGAGGTAAATGATATAATACTATCAGAATTTTTTGATCTTCAATAATAAGTTGTTTTCTTTTGTTATATAATTTTATAGTGTTTGCACGAAAAATAGAGTATACTTGGTTTAGAGATAGTTTTGCACTGATCGGGTAAAATGAATGAGGTCTCTCACCGTAAACGGCATCTTAGTTGCAACCATGTATTTAGCCACTCATTCATGAAATCTTTCCTATGAATATACATAAGTGAAAAGTGTAGAACCAGAATCGTCAAACACAAGTTCGATCTGTTTTAGGTTGAGATCGACTGGTCTCACTATGCAAGTCCTTGCTACGTGCATATTCAAGTGCATGTGCTTGAACTGGGCTTCCAACTAAGTTCCTTACCATAGTATTTGCATTATGCTTTCCAACTATCTACTCCATTTTGAATACCAACATTTTTTCGTGTTATATGTTGCCAATAATTCGATTATTCTTTCTTTGACCTTTTAGTTTTGAATACATCTTCCTCTTAAATATCTTTGAAGTCAATTGGAATATTTTTAGATACATCGTAGCCGGATGGAATACTTGAACTATCTTTAAATTAGCTAACCTCATCACTAGTAAAATCTATTTTTGCTATTAAATTTGGACCATTTAAAATTGAAAAATTATAGCAGAAGAAACTTAATATTGGAGCAAAGAACTTGAACAGGAGAGTTGAAAATAGAATACTCTAAAGTTGAATATTGTTGAAGTAAATTGATATTAAATTTAAAATTTTACCTTCATAGTTATAGCTAAAAAATTGACCCGTTCAACAAATTTTGAAATTCAAATTCAAAATTTGAATTTGAATGTGATGGAATTCTTCAACTGCTTTTGCAGTTGTAGTTGCAAAAGCAACCGTAGCTGCCTGCTAAAAGCAGCTAGCCACACGGGACATCACATGGGCCATTAACACGGGCCTCCATCACAGGGCAAAATGGCCCGTGTCATTTCGTCAAGTCACAACGGTGGCTTTGGCTTGGTGAAAACGAGTTGTGAGCCAAATCTTGACTCGAACTTTTTTTGGGTCAAGTCGTGGACCGTCCAAACTGACGAGGAAAATTTACATCCCTATATTCAATCAATCAAGGCTCATCATAATGAAAAGTGTTCCTACCCTATAGCATTGGGCTGTGACTGATTCTTCAGGGCTAATTTTTATATATTAGCACTAATTGTTCCTTATGCAATTAATAATTAATTTCCATATTAAGAACTGATATCAGATTAGTAAAGTTCTCTCTCATAGTATATATCATCTCTCCATTCTTTATATTTGATGAATATTAAAAATGTGTTTGATGTTCAAAGTTTTACAAGTCAAGTTTTCTATTGTTCGGTTTTATTATAATTGAGCACCTAATAACAGTGTTTACTCTTAGCCCTATTAAAGCTTCATTATCCAAAAATTCATTTTTTTTCAAACTTATTTTTAACCACACATTCTCTCAATAAAATAATTTTACACGTAAATTCAAAGCTTTTTCCAACTTTTAACCACACATTTTTTAAAAAACAAATCACTACTATAAAACTCATTTTCTACAAAAATAGGGCTCAAACAAAGACTAATGAATAGTTAAAAAAAAAAAAAAAAAAAAAGAAGAAGAAAAACAAAGGATATTTCTGAGTCATGACTCACAATTTTAATTTCATCTTGGGACATTATTTTATTCCGTCCAATGGCATATTTTAAATCCATATTATAAGATCATTGAATATTTTGTGCATAGTTGAATTGGATTCTTGTATCAATGATCTCTTTACTAGTATCTTAAGGTTCTTATTCTTGAAAGCTCTACAATTAACATAGAGTGAAGAATAATTTTTTGAGTTTTAGAAGGTTATTTGTTCCAAATTCGTTTAATATTTGACAGGAAATTTCTTTATAATGAACCTAATAGGTAGCCAAAGAAAGTATTATATTTTTGGGCTCGATTACTTGTAATGGCTTGGAAGAAAATACTGAACTATTTTAGCTTCATTTGCTTTGACTCTCTAACCATTGATCTAATACTTTGTTACATTGATTTGAATATGAGGGTGATATTTGAGATTTTCTTGCAAATGCTTCTTAATAAATATATGAAAATACTCATTTGTGGTCGTTTAATTATGAATTTGAACGGAATCATTTCCCAAAGTTTTTTTTTTTTAATTGTCACAATATAATATGTTACTTTTTATTTTTTTTATGACAGGGGAACCCGCAGCCGCTATCCTTGGGGTGCGCACTAGATAAACCCTCGAGCTGACACAATAACCTGCAAACCATGCCAACCAGATAAACTGCACTAGGCAAGCCCAGTGCGACAGACTCAATCGAGAAAGTGTTGGTAGGGGGAATCGAACTCGTGACCAAAAACCTCCACACTTACCAACTCCACCAACTCGACCACCCATGAGGGGCAATATAATAATGTTACTTGTTAGATAATCACTTTGAGATCAAATTGATTTGCAAAATTAATATTGAAGGTCTGAAAAAAAACAAGTATTGTGCAAAGTGGAGGAAAAAAGTTTATTAGTATAATGTTTGGTTCTCTTCTATCGAGTCCTTGTTTGATTATCATTCTTTAAATATTCATTTTTTCACAAACTCATTTTCAATCACACATTTTTCAAATAAAATAATTTTATACATAAAATTTTCTCTATTTTTTAACCATACATTTTTCAAAAAATTATTATTACATAATCTGTTCTCAATAAAAATGTAGCTCAAACAAAC